TATCAACAATCCAACCACTCCTGCCCGTGTAACAGTCGTAATCTATGTGAGAATACAATTTTACGGCATAAAGTTGAATAACTTATCACCACTGTAACGAAACACACTTCTTAAATAGGGGGCCAACTAATTAACATCCCGCGGGACATCTATTATCGGACCAGTGTGACCCTTTGCCGAATCCGTAACTTTCCACATGTCGAGCTCCTGGAACAATCCACGTGTCTCGATCCGTTTTTTAACCTACGTAGTCGCCCAATCAAGGAGCCGCATGTGTCGGTCGGTTTGTTTAGACGAGGCATTTGCTGACAGATTTGACGGAACTGGGCAGAGTTTTAAAAAACCTGTTGTGTTGTTGTTCAGGTTTATTAACCATTTGTGTCGCTCTCTCCTGCTCCGTTCCGAATGAACAGCATTTGCTGCAAGCTGTCACGAATCATGGGCGCACACCTGTTTACCGTGGAATAATTATCATCCGACGCCTACATTTGCGGAACTGTCGCGAGCTAATGGCATGACAGTGGAGGACATTACCTATGACGCACGAGGTGCCAAATTCATCCCCCATGCAGAATGTGCCCGGACAACAATCACCAGTCACATCAGTCCCTTTGACCGCCTACGATGTTGTGCGATTGGTTGATAAAACGCAGATGATATCGTGGACAGGCGTGCGCAAATGCCTGTTGTGCACCTACTCCCCTGGTCCCTCCCCTCATCTCCAACAACGCCACCTCCTCCAAACATAACAACACGTTTCACCAGTGTTCCCGTCTATACTTCCTTGTTTGGTCCATCGTCCCGTTAGCTCTAGATCTAGAAACGCACCCCGTTCCCGTCATGGCGCGCAAGCGTAAGAGACAAACCCTTAAAGACTGCCCAAAGGACCTTAACGAGATCCCTTACATCCGCTGGATAAACCAGCAATTAGCTAACGGGCGTCGTCTTGGCGGCGTATCCGCGGCGCCCGGGCCTGACGGACAGGGTTCTAGTGCACCGTCACCCAGCGCGGGTCCGTCCCGCGTGCGCCGTCAGCCTACAAGAACCGCAGCAACTGTCCGGGCCGTGGCGGATAAAGCATATGACGACGACGACGACGATTTCGAAGGCGAGGCCGAAGGCACCGACGACGAGCATGACGAGCCGGAGGATCGTGGTATGTCTCCTACGTACGATGAGGGAGACGACGACGACGCTGACGACGACGCGGAGGAGAAAACGCATATTGTGACTCCGCCGCCGAAGCGAATCTCCGCACGCGGAGTAGCCTTTGACAAAGGCAAAGGCATGGCGGTTGCACTAACGCCTCGCCAGGAGCCCCGGAACAAGCGGTCGACTCCCCCAGTTGAGAGGGGCATGTGGACGGACAAGGAAAGCACTGTCTTCGCCGCGGCGCGGTGGTTTATGAAAGACAAACTCGAGACCCCCGACGGCAAGCATGGGGCACAATACTGGGTCAGCCTGCACGCACACATCAAGGAGTCGAACCCGGACTGGTGCAGGAATGTCAACGCGATGCGGCAGCAGTGGCGCAAGTTGATGGCCGCGTGGGACGAGTATCAACATGTGGATGTCGGTGAGGGCATCGGTTATGTGGAAAAACCGCCATGGTGGCCGTACATGGAGCTGTATCAGCAGTGGCGCTGCGTCCGCCCCGCATGCATTGGGCGGCGGCACCGCCACGAACGCCAACGTTCCTAGCTCCACTCAGCCAGTGACGTCGACACCGACCTTTACAGGTGTGATCCAGTATTTTATGTGCAGGTGAATCGGTTGGTTACGTAAGCCGTGTTGGTAAACATGCGGTCGTACGAACTGTGTGTGTAGATGCATCATGTAAGTCTATCTTCACAGAGCTATGTACCTACTGGGAACACTAAGTGCGCTTCTTTCCGTCCCGCTTTCAGCGCCACCGCTGAGCTCATTGTACTTGTCCAAGGACCGGGCTGTCAAAAGCTTCCATAACATGTCCGCGGAAGTCTTCCCAAACCGCTTCACGTTCTGCTGCATGTGCCACCCACAGAAGTAGTGCGCCACCTTCTCAGGGAACACTTCCTTCACCGCCGGGATGAGACCTTTGTCCCGGTCGCAGATGATGGACGCGTCGTCCCGTCCCTGCTAGTCGGAGCAGTGCTTATCAAAGAGCCGGCAAAACCAAGTCCATGTGTCCTTGGTTTCGCTCTCTACGAGCGCCCACGCGATGGGGATGATCTGCTGATTGCCGTCCATCGCGTTGGCGTACAGCAGAGTAGCCTTCTGAGCACGGATCAGGAAAGTCCCGTCCATTGCGATGACAGGCCTGCACGTCTTCAGTGCTTCGCGTGTTGCACTCGGCGCCATGAAGAAGCGGAGAAATTCGTGGTTGTAAGTCAAGAGCTCCACGGTTGCTCCGCTGTCGATCTGCCGAATGCGCTCTTGCACCGCCGGAATGTAGCGGAATGACTCGCACCAGTCGCCGAATCGCTGCGCCGTGATGCCGACCTTCAGCCTGCGTGGGTGGAATGTATGGGTGGTTTCGGGACATGAGTGAATTGGAGGCAAAAAGAAAAGCTCACTCGGTGTTCGGCCTATGACGGGTGGACGCTCACCGGTAGGCGTTGTTGTAAGTTAACCTCGGACCAGAGCAGGCCTGAATCTGCCTGGCGTAGTCCCAAGGGGCGTTGAACGGCGCTGCACGGACGAAGTTGCCGAATTTCCGCCAAAGGTACTTCCTCTTACGACCCATACCCGGCCACCACCGGTTCCGGTAGACACGGTCGCATGTGTGCTCTGCGGGATCGGACAGCTCAACGATTCGCCACGGTCCGTTCCGCTCGAGACGAGCGTAGCTGCACCGCCATGGGCAGGGGGGGTCCAACCCAAGCTTCTGACTCTTGCACAACGCTAGCGCCGATGCCCTTCTGGATGACTTCATGTAGAAACCGTATTTATGCACGACCGCATCATCAAGCAAGGCAAAGAGGCAATGATCCCGCGAGGAGTACCAGTTGTCCACCTGAATGGCAGCGTTATCGTTGATCGTAGGCCCCTCCTCGGGTTCAAACTCTATGTCGAACTGCTCCAGTATAATGTTATACATGTCACGGACATTAGCCGGCGGTTCCTCCATTGTGCCACTGATACAACACCTAGGTTATCCACTCGCACTATATATATGGTCATCCACTGCCCAGGTTCTTTAACGGCGAGACTCGAGCACATGTTTTCGTCATGTATAACAGGATCTGGTGTTGGAGAATGATGGACACGGAATTCCTGACACTTCGTACAACGGCTAGGATCAACAACAACTCATTTGTCAGTCCCAGGTGGCATAATCCTGACAGTGGTTTCCACCAGTGCGTTTCGTCAGAATTCGCAGCGACTGAATTGTGTTATGATCGCTGGCGCGTTTATTACCAGATTATGAACACATCATACCCAATCAAGCCCAGACGAGTGGCTTGTACATGTCAAAGTGGCGCGATAATTGCGAGTATGAATGGACCGTTCAAAAACACGCGTAGCCGCTGCCAACACACCGGTTCACGACGTGTCCGTCGCAAGTACTTGCACGTGGAAGCTAGTTCAGAATGACAGAATCAAACCGAGTCGCCCGACACATGACGTATCTGTAGATGCGCCTGGCACTCCCGATAAAATGGTTAAATAACACTGGCCAGTCCTGTGACGCCACGTACAACCGCACAAGCCACCATTCCCCCACTGTTGTGAACCGAAACAGTTTGCCGAACCTGGACGCGCCACAAGTTCGCCGAACCGACCTCCACACTGTCAGGAGAGAAATGCCCAATAGGATGATACTGCGTGGCAGGGAAGTTCGATGTCAACCAGCAAACTGCCCACCGACAATTTGGGACCCCCCAAAAAAAAACCAACATGTTGTTTAAATGAAGCTAAATCTGGGGAGCGCGTACCGCTCGCGATAAAAGGTGGATGGTGTGTCTTTCGGGTTGTGTAAAAATTTGAGCGCGATGAAAAAAATTCACGAGGGCTATGCCCGCGCCGCGGCAATTCTCTCCAGAATGAGGCTGGCTGGGGACGGGAGCGCGTCTTGGAAACCAACATGCGGCGCGAGAAGCGGTGAGGCAGCTCAGGCGAAGTTGCATTTTCGGTGGCGACTAGGCTTGAATTCTTCGTGCTCGAATTTGGGGGGGCAACTGTACTTCTCGCCAACGAAATGCTGGGTCCCCCGGATCATGTCGCGAAGCTCGTTGACCGAAAGTGGTTGTGGCTGTCGGTTGAGGTCGCGCGCGGTCCGCGTGAAGCCTTTTCGAGTGCTCTTTAGAAGCCTTTTCACTAACTCAGTCAAATGCTATAACACTAAAATTCTGCATCACACATGCTTCATTTCATCCCTCCGTGACACAAAATGGAAACTGCAACTCAGGAATCCAAAATCGTTTGCTCAAGCCCACAAAATATACACCCCTGTACATACATACATAGCTCTACCATAGTAGTAAATAACTGGCATCTAGAAAAAAACGCCACACAAAAGCACAAGTTTGGCACTCCAACCAATGCACTAGCTGCAGCACACCAAATCATCTCTCACTTGAATGTTGCCATTTTGCGAAACGGCACCATGCGCTTCCTGGAGCAGGGAACAAAGGAAGGGCAGGGCAACAGAGGAGGCGTTAGTACTTCAAAATTCAGCGACAAATGGGCTCCATCTTTGAAAATGGGAATGGGACAAGAGTGTATAGGAGCACAGGAAGCGGAGATGGTCCACTCCAGTCTATATGGGGTCAGAGCGAGGATAACTGTTGGTTGGGAACGGGGACAAGGCGAATAGGGTTGGGTATGGTGTGCAGCTGGGGCGGAATGACTGGGGCCATTTGGGGGAGGGGGGAGAGGGGAGGGGGGAGTGGGGAGGGGGGAGGGGGGAGGGGTGAGGGGGGAGGATGGAGGGAAAAGGGTGTGTGGGAGCCATGGACCTAGTGGGTGCCAGCGGGAATCAGGATGGCACAAGCGTACAAACAAATGCGCGAGCCTACTCACTTTGGTGAAACCAACCCAACTGCGCCGGACGTGTCTTTGGGCTTGCTCGTCTCTTCCGCCGCACTCCGCCCTTCCGTGCTTCCCCTCCCTTCCTCGCTCTCGCACTCCGCAATGGGTTCGGCCACACTCAGAGACACAACCTCACTCGAGTCAGAGACAGCAGCGGAGGAGAATCCGCCAATTGCAGTCTTTCCAGACAGAAACTGCGCGGAAGACTTGGCAGCAGCCGCATTGCTATCCCCGCTAGAAGCCTGCGCCTTATCCGCTGCTCTAAACGAAAACCATTTTGAAAAGCGGCGGGAGGGCGTGAGCGGGGGGGCGATGCTTCCGCTGGGGGCAGCGGCGGCTGCGGAAGGGAGGGCGGAGCAGGAGAGCGGGCCGTGATCGGCGGAGGCGGTGTCCGACTCGGGGACAGTGAGCGCGGGGAGGAAGGGCAACCCGCTGGCTGAGGATTTTCCGCGGATGCGGAAGGAGCGCGCGGAAATGAGGGAGGAGAGGGCGCCGGTGCTCGTGCTTTTGCTTATGGTTCCGCCGCTGTTCGCCGCGCGCGCTGCATCTTTATGCGGAGCAGCGCCGGCGCTGGTGCTGACGGGCGTCACGGTGTCGCTGTTAGGAGTTGTGCCTGTTGCGGATTCGAGGGAGAAAAGCCCGCTTGCGCTTGTGCTCTTACGAATACCGCCGCCGACACCGCCGCCATTGCTGCTGCTGCTCGGGGCGTTCAAGCTTTCAGCGGTTTCAGCGCTCGGAGCATGGGCGATGGCGGTGGCGCTGGTGTCGCTAACAATGGCAGTGGCTGTTGGGGTGACGACTACAGCACTTTCCGCCACCGCGCTCTCCGCCTCCGCGCCCCCCACCACCACGCGCTCCGCCTCCGCGCTCTCCGCCTCCGCGTTCTCCGCCTCTGCGCTCTTAGTTTCCGCGCTCTCCGCCTCCGCGCTCGACTCTGCGCTTTCCTCTTTCGCGCACTCCTCTGACGCGGTCTCCGCCACCGCGACCTCCGCCACTGTGACCTCCGCCACTGCGACCTCCGCCACCGCGGTCTCCGCCACCGCGACCTCCGCCACCGCGACCTCCGCCACCGCGACCTCCGCCACCGCGACCTCCGCCGCTCGCGTTGATTCTTCAGTCGACTCCACCGCCTCCGCCGTTTCAGGCGTTTTTGTGAATTCCGCTGGCGCTTCCGACGGATTTTGCGTTTCCGTCGATTCTAGCGTTTCCGCTGGTTCTGTGCCCTCTTTCGCTTCTCTCGTTTCCATCGCGGCTTCCGCTGTGTTTGCCGCTTCCGCACGCTGCCGCGCGGCCGCCTCTCGAGCCGCTTCCTCGATCATCATGATCTGCCAGAGCACTCGGCTCTCCTCGTCCTCGTCGCCCGACTCGAACACCTCGCTCTCCGCGATTGCCGCCATGGCTCCGGCTTTACTCAACACGCCGCCGTCCATATGGTCCCACGGATGCGTCGCTAGGCCCAACGAAGCTGACGAGGCGGTTGCGTGGCTGTGGGAGCTGAGTACGTCAGTCATGGTAGAGCAAAGGTAGAGCGGAGGTAAGGCGGCAATAAGGCGGTCAAAGATGACTCGGAAATGCCTTGGAGTCCAAGCCCCCCTGTGGTAGTTTCTCGTTCAGAAACTCTCTCCAACGAACTCGCCGTTCTAAGGAGGCACTCCGACTGAAATGGAACCACACAACGTGTGCTTGGTGCTCAGAAGGACACTTCCGCACGTGTTTTCGCTCCTTGTTAGGCAGCGACGAGGGGCAAATGAATCTCTAGTTCCACACACACACCACAGGAACAGGCACACAGCACAACGCTTTCCTTGCATCCCCCCCAAATCCATTCTGGACTGGAGGCCTGGGTTTTGAGGGAGGATGTGATTGGCGGCTGTTGCAGGGTACACCGTTCAGTGGGTGGATGGAGGCATCGAGGCGGAAGTCTGGCTGGCTCTGTTCCTTGTGAAGCCCGAAACGCATTTGTGAGTTTTGTGTTTCTCGCGCGGCTGGTGCGATTACATTCACGGCAGCGCGAATCGTATCGCATGTTCGCACGTTTTGTAGAGATTGTTCGTTTCGCAAGAAACATCCAGAGGGTGAGCTGCGAGGTCGCAAGCGTTCGCAATGTTGCTGCGAGCTTCGCACTCGCCCCTTCGTGAACCCTAGGTGGGGATGAGCTGGGCACGTGTTGGAACAACTGTAACGGCAAAGTCTAGCGGATTTTTCATTGGCTCCCAGAAGCGATATGAATCACGACTCGGAAGATCCCAGTTACGACTGTGGATGTAACCGCTTATATAAGTGTATTGCATCCAAAAAAAAAAAAAAAAAAAAAAAACGACTCGGAAGATCCAAGTCGTGTGCCTTTGGCGACGGGCATTGGCTGGGTGAAACTCGCTTGCAGCGATGAAGACCGATTTGCGTGGCGGAGAGTAACCCAAAATGTGGAGGTCGCATCTCCACCCATCAAGTGTGATACACGTCAGAAACTCATGAATGTGATGCAGCATCGCAAGCAAGATCAGCCTGAATACTCCACTAAAACTCGATAATGTGTTGCCAGAGAAGCCATCACAAACGAATATATAGATGTTCACACTATGCTATCTTTCAATCTCTAGCAAGCTCCACTTCCTCAACATCAAAATCTACTCCTCGCACCACCCCTTCCAACAAGCCTGAAACCTGCATAAGCTCCAACTGACGATAACCATCAGCCTGCACATTTCGCAACCCTATATCATCACCTTCCAACCCATTGGCCTCACCATTTTCAACATCATCGTCACTATAGACATCCTCCACCGTATGCTCATATGAGGATCTCACCGAATCAGCAACGTAAGGCTCGCGATCAACGCCACCATAATCACTCAAATTGCCGCTATATGTGGTGGAAGATGCAATATCATCCCCCGAAGGGGGGAGGAGCGGCAAAGGCCGTATGTGCCAGTCTATTGGATGGTTGGAGATGGGTGGGCGGGGCGTGTGCATAAGGAGAGAATCATGGGTTGAGTGCGGTGATCGGGGGGTGTGGGGAGGAGGGTGTGAGGAGGAAGAGGAGGAGGGGAGTGGGGAGGTGAGGTAGCGACCCCACTTTTGCAAGAGGAAGAACCTTGAGGGGAGGGATAAGAGGGACCAGGAAGAGGGGGTGATGTGATGTATGGAAGGAGAATTGGCATGGGAGAGTGTGGGTAATACAGGCGATGGTGTGGTGGGACGATTGCAGTGACATTGCATGAGATACGCATGGGTGCAAAAGGGGTTGGATGGGTGCATTTACTGATGGTACCAAAAAGAGTAACAAGATGCAGTGCCAGGTGTACGTAACGCAAACACCCATTTCATGCGCGTGCATAACAAGTGTATTATGAGGGAAACTTATACGCGGAAACGAGTGTAGTTGAGTGGTGTGTACCACTGGATGAGAGCCACGAGCAGCACAGAGGAGAAGATGGAGGGGATCCAGATGTTGGTGTGGAACTTGAGGAACCTGATGGTGTATGTGTGTGGGGGGGGAGGGGGAGGGGGAGAGGGGGAGAGGGGGGGGCCACGTGCAGGATGTGTGGCTTTTGAGACGCCTCAGAAGATGGAGGGGATTCAGATGTTCGGGTGGAACTTGAGGAACCTGATGGTGTTGTGTGTGTGTGTGTGTGTGTGTGTGTGTGTGTGTGTGTGTGTGTGTGTGTGTGTGTGTTGGTGGGGCGGTAATGTATGGAAAAGAGAACTTCATGGGATGCATGGGGATCCAGATGTTGGGGCGTGTGTGTGAAACATGCCCACAATTCTGTCTCAGGAGGAATGTGAGACATCAATGGAACAAATACATCTGCCACACCTGCCATGCCATGCCATAGGACGAACTCACGCCATGGTCGCAAGCAGAGGTGACTTTTGAGTCGACTCAGAAGTCATGCCACCCACAACTGCCATGCCATGCCATGCCATGGGAGGAACTCACGCCATGGTGGCAAGCAGAGGGAAGAAGAAGGTGATACCTGCATAAAGAGGGAGAGGGAGGGTGGGGGTTGGGGGAGTGAATGCAGGAGGGGGTTGGGAAAAGTGGAGCGGAAGAGGAGAGGCGGGGGAGGGTATGGAGCTGGTGTTGCAGTGAGGAGGTGTTGCAGTGAGGAGGTGTTGCAGTGAGGAGGTGTTGCAGTGAGGAGGTGTTGCAGTGAGGAGGTGTTGCAGTGAGGAGGTGTTGCAGTGAGGAGGTGTTGCAGTGAGGAGGTGTTGCAGTGAGGAGGGTATGGAGCTGGTGTTGCAGTGAGGAGGGTATGGAGCTGGTGTTGCAGTGAGGAGGGTATGGAGCTGGTGTTGCAGTGAGGAGGTGTTGCAGTGAGGAGGGTATGGAGCTGGTGTTGCAGTGAGGAGGGTATGGAGCTGGTGTTGCAGTGAGGAGGGTATGGAGCTGGTGTTGCAGTGAGGAGGTGTTGCAGTGAGGAGGTGTTGCAGTGAGGAGGTGTTGCAGTGAGGAGGTGTTGCAGTGAGGAGGGTATGGAGCTGGTGTTGCAGTGAGGAGGGTATGGAGCTGGTGTTGCAGTGAGGAGGGTATGGAGCTGGTGTTGCAGTGAGGAGGGTATGGAGCTGGTGTTGCAGTGAGGAGGGTATGGAGCTGGTGTTGCAGTGAGGAGGGTATGGAGCTGGTGTTGCAGTGAGGAGGGTATGGAGCTGGTGTTGCAGTGAGGAGGGTATGGAGCTGGTGTTGCAGTGAGGAGGGTATGGAGCTGGTGTTGCAGTGAGGAGGTCCAATCCAGCACAAAGTGGGTTCCATGGTTTCAATACGTGGCAGCGGCTCGTAGGAAAGACACCCTGAAAGTTGTTTTGTAAGCTTGTTTAAAAAAAAAAGGAGGGGCGGGGGGGGGAGGGGTATGGAGCTGGTGTTGCAGTGCGGAAGGGGGGGAGGGGTATGGAGCTGGTGTTGCAGTGTGGAAGGGGGGGAGAGGGAGTGGGGGGAGGGGGGGCTGGGAAGTCCGTGGGAAACCTGGAATGGAGATTGGGGCTGGGAGTGGGGAAATTCCACTGCCCACTCCAAGTGGCGATTGGCGATTCCACTTGAAAACGCAAGTGGCGATTTTTGTGATTTGAATGTGAGCGCATGGCTATTGTAACACCATGCCAATAACCCACGCCATGCTGTGACACGCACGAGTCTGAGTCGTTTCACTCTCTCTGTGCATTTGAGACGTCTCAAAAAGTCTGTGTCGTTTCACTCTCTCTGTACAACAAGTGGAAAAGGCGGCTGAATCTGAATGACGGAGGGCAAGCAGACTTTAGATCCAGCCGCCTTTATGTGGATCTAAAAGAAGCTCAGTCGAGGCATCTAGAAGCTCAGTCGAGGCATCTAGAAGCTCAGTCGAGGCATCTAGAAGCTCAGTCGAGGCATCTAGAAGCTCAGTCGAGGCATCTAGAAGCTCAGTCGAGGCATCTAGAAGCTCAGTCGAGGCATCTAGAAGCTCAGTCGAGGCATCTAGAAGCTCAGTCGAGGCATCTAGAAGCTCAGTCGAGGCATCTAGAAGCTCAGTCGAGGCATCTAGAAGCTCAGTCGAGGCATCTAGAAGCTCAGTCGAGGCATCTAGAAGCTCAGTCGAGGCATCTAGAAGCTCAGTCGAGGCATCTAGAAGCTCAGTCGAGGCATCTAGAAGCTCAGTCGAGGCATCTAGAAGCTCAGTCGAGGCATCTAGAAGCTCAGATCCATTCCATATAGCAAGCTTCAAAACCTGAGTTCTTTCCTCCCCTCCCCTCCCCTCCCCTCCCCTCCCCTTCCCTCCCTTCCCCTTAACTCCCCTCCCCTTCCCTCCCCTCCTCTCCCTCCTCCCCTCCTCTCCGTTCCCTTCCCTCCCTTCCTCTTCCCCCTCTCTCCCCTCGCTGCCCTTCTCTCCCCAACCCTCGCCTCATATCCTTAAAACTTGGAATGGCACACAGCTTCATACTTGGAACTAGGCATTTGAAATGGCTGCGGCGTCCTCACACGCAGCTTCGTTCTAGTGACTGGACGCTATGTACCTTACCCAGTTTTGCGGTGCCTCAAAACTCGTCTCATTTCACGTATTATGATATGAGTCATCATCACAGCCGCTTTCTAGTGACCAGACGGTACTTACCAGCAGAAAAGAGGCGGAAGGTCAGCCGCCAATCGGATTCGCATCTGGATTGAGAGGAAGTGAGAGAGGGGAAGTGAGGATACCAAGGGAGGGGAGGTGTGAGAACAGAGGGGGTGAAAGAAAGGATAGGAGGGAAAGGGTAGGAGGGAAAGGGAAGAGAGGATATGAGGGGAGTGGAAGGGAAGATACGAGGGGCGAGAAGAGAGAAAAACATGAGGGGTGTATGCAGAAGAGGAAGCAGGAATACAGGATGTAAAGTCAGGTTGGGAAGGGAGGGAACAGGACGGAAGAGTGGAGAAACGAGGAAACGGAGGATACAAAAGCGAGAAAATGGTTCCATGCATCTGAGGCCCTGACGGTGATCGTTCACATAAGGCGACTAATGCAGCGCTTCAAAAGTCGTCTATGTCTCGCAGTCTTTTTATGAGCCTCAAAAGTACTTGTATGTGTCTGAGGCCCTGACGGTGATCAATCACCTGAGGTCCCAGAAGCGGTCGAAGCTCCTCAATGCTGCTGGTGGGGCGGCAATTGTCGTCCTGTTGCCGCCCGCTGCCGCCCGGTTGAGTGCAAAGTAGCGGGCCGAGGCGAGAAACTCCTCCTCCTCCCGCTCGTGCACGTACAGCTTGCCCATCCTCAGCACTGCTCCTAATACAAAGACGGCTATCATTGCTGCCACCACCATCAGTGATGGCTGCATGGGGGGTGGGACGGTGGTGGGGGCAGGGGCAGGGGGCAAGGGGCAGAGGACAGGGGCCAAGGAGACAGGGAGCAGGGGGACAGGTGGCAGGAGCAGAGGAGGTAAACGGGGCAAAGGAGCACCTGAGACTCCTCCTCCTCCCTCTCGTGCACGTATAGCTTGCCCATCCTCAGCACTGCTCCTAGTACAAAGACGGCTATCATTGCCGCTACCACCATCAGTGATGGCTGCATGGGGGGTGGGACGGTGGTGGGGGCAGGGGCAGGGGGCAGGGGGCAGAGGACAGGGGCCAAGGAGACAGGGAGCAGGGGGACAGGGGGCAGGAGCAAAGGGGGGTAAACGGGACAAAGAAGCATGTGAACCTCCTCCTCCTCCCTCTCGTGGTCGTAGAGCTTTCCTATCATTGCTGCCAGCACATGAAACTCCCCCTCCTCCCTCTCCTCCCTCTCCTCCCTCTCCTCCCTCTCCTCCCTCTCCTCCCTCTCCTCCCTCTCCTCCCTCTCCTCCCTCTCCTCCCTCTCCTCCCTCTCCTCCCTCTCCTCCCTCTCCTCCCTCTCCTCCCTCTCCTCCCTCTCCTCCCTCTCCTCCCTCTCCTCCCTCTCCTCCCTCTCCTCCCTCTCCTCCCTCTCCTCCCTCTCCTCCCTCTCCTCCCTCTCCTCCCTCTCCTCCCTCTCCTCCCTCTCCTCCCTCTCCTCCCTCTCCTCCCTCTCCTCCCTCTCCTCCCTCTCCTCCCTCTCCTCCCTATCCTCCCTATCCTCCCTCTCCTCCCTCTCCTCCCTCTCCTCCCTCTCCTCCCTCTCCTCCCTCTCCTCCCTCTCCTCCCTCTCCTCCCTCTCCTCCCTCTCCTCCCTCTCCTCCCTCTCCTCCCTCTCCTCCCTCTCCTCCCTCTCCCCCCTCTCCTCCCTCTCGTGCTCGTACAGCTTTCCCATCCTCAGCACTGCTCCTAGCACAAACACTTTTGAGGCGCCTCAAAAGTCAGCACGAACACGCCGCTACAACCATCATTGATGGCTGCATGTTGGGTAAGGAAGGGTAGGGGGGAGAGGGGGGAGAGGGAGGAGAGGGGAGGAGAGGGAAGAGAGGGGAAAGTGTGGAGAAGGGAGAGAGGGGGGAGAGGGGGGAGAAGGGGAAGAAGGGGGAGAGGGGCGAGAGGAGGGAGAAGGGGAAGAGGGGGGAGAAGAGAGGGTGCAAGGGTATGTACAACTGCCTGTGTGTGTGCATGTCTGTGAGAGTGTGCACTGTGCCTATCCACACCGACTCACCACCAGAGCTGTACAGAGGGCGTATGCTGTGACTAGGGCCTGCAGGACAGAGGGGGAAAGATGACGTGGGGGAGTGGGAGAGAGCAAATATCACTTGACGAGGGGAAAGGTGAGGGTGAGAGGAGAAAGGAGCACAGTGCAGTTCAGCATGGTGCAGTGCGGTGGAGTGGAGTGCGGTAGAGTGGAGTGCGGTGGAGTGGAGTGCGGTGAAGCACATCACCATGGGCGCATATTTAAACACAGCACAGCAAAGTTCAGTGCGGTGAGAGCAGGGCAGTTCATCACCATTGGTGCATCTGGGTCACTATAGGTAAATTCCAGGAGCAGTCATGGTGAATCCGCCCACAATAGCCGCCAGCCACGCCATGGCCCTCATGTGCTCCGCCTTCTCCTCCACACTGCGCCTGTTGCACTCCTTGGTGCTGGTGAGAGGCGGGGGAGAGATGGCACGGAGAGGATTGGCGCGCAGAGAGTGGAAGAAAGGGGGATGAGCTACGAGGAGTGGGTGGGGTGTTGGCGTGCCTCTCCATGGCTCATTTTGTTTGAGGTTGATTTTGAGAATTTTCGAAATCAACCTCAAACAAAAAGGAGTGGGTGGGGTGTTGGTGTGCCAGTGCCTCTCCATGGCTCTCGTGTGCTCCGCTCCGCCGCCTCCTCCACGCTTCGCCAGTTACACTCCTCCTCGGTGCCGGTGCCAGTGGCCGGGGAAGAAGGGGAAAGAGAGTGTGGGGAAAGAGAGTGTGGGGAAAGAGAGTGTGGGGAAAGAGAGTGTGGGGAAAGAGAGTGTGGGGAAAGAGAGTGTGGGGAAAGAGAGTGTGGGGAAAGAGTGTGGGGAAAGAGAGTGTGGGGAAAGCGAGTGTGGGGAAAGAGAGTGTGGGGAAAGAGAGTGTGGGGAAAGAGAGTGTGGGGAAAGAGAGTGTGGGGAAAGAGAGTGTGGGGAAAGAGAGTGTGGGGAAAGAGAGTGTGGGGAAAGAGAGTGTGGGGAAAGAGTGTGGGGAAAGAGAGTGTGGGGAAAGCGAGTGTGGGGAAAGAGAGTGTGTGGAAAGAGAGTGTGGGGAAAGAGAGTGTGGGGAAAGCGAGTGTGGGGAAAGAGAGTGTGGGGAAAGAGAGTGTGGGGAAAGAGAGTGTGGGGAAAGAGAGTGTGGGGAAAGAGAGTGTGGGGAAAGAGTGTGGGGAAAGAGAGTGTGGGGAAAGAGAGTGTGGGGAAAGCGAGTGTGGGGAAAGAGAGTGTGGGGAAAGAGTGTGGGGAAAGAGAGTGTGGGGAAAGAGAGTGTGGGGAAAGAGAGTGTGGGGAAAGAGGGTGGAGAAAGGAGGATGAACAACGAGGAGTGAGGTGTTGGTGCCACGCGATGGCCTTCGAGTGTTGATACAAGCGCTCCGCTTTCCCCTCCACACTTGGTAGTAGCAATACCAACAAAGACTGTTTGGTAGGTGCCGGCGAGCAGAGGAGAAGAAGGGGAAGGAGAGGTTGTGAATGGGGCACACGGTGTCAAGGAGTGGGCGCAAGCAGCAAGAGGAGGGCATTTAGCAGCGGGAACGGAGAAGGGAAGCTGTTTGCAAGATGGGGGATATTATCCCTTTCATCCCCCACACTTCAGGTCCGTGCCACACGTCATCCCCACCCCCCCTCCCCTTCCCCGCTCCAATTTCACATTTCCCTTGTCATCGCAACCTTTGCGGAAATTCTTCAAAATCCTCGAGAACTGAGACGACTTTTGAGGCGCCTAAAAAGTTTTCGCATTTCCTTTGCCATTGCAACCTTTGCGGAGATTCTTCAGAATTCTCAAACGCGACTCCGCCCCCTCTTCTTTCTCCTCTCCTGAATCCCCCCCAACACCAGATACGCCTATCCTCCCCCGTCTGCTGCTGCCATCATCAACATTGCGTTTGCACTCATCGCCACTCCTCGCCTCTACACACAGGTATGTTTTGCTGCTGGGCGAACCTTGCTGACACGCACCAGGTGTGGTGGGATGGGGTGTGGTGTGGTGGGATGGGGTTTAAGTATACTGAAATAGCTCTGGCTTGATAGGTCTCGCCTGTGCTCATGGTCACTTAATGCTCCGAATGATTTGTTTTTCGAGTTTTGAGACGTCTCAAAGCTTGACTTAACATGCTCCGAATGATGTGTTTTCCTCTCTCCCTCTCCCCATTCCTCCCCTCTTCTCCCGTCGCTTCCCCCTTACCCCCTCCCTGCTGCTCCATCTGATGAACAAGATGAGCCTGCCACCCCCATTCCTCACTTGACATAATTCTAGAAATCACTCCTCACCTTCCTCCCTCTCCCTATCCCTCCTCGCCCCCCCAGGTGCTCCATCTGATGAACAAGATGAGCCTGCCGCACATGAGTGACTGGCCGCCTCCCTTCCTGACCCGACATGTTTCTAAATCCCTCCCGATCTCCCGTCATCTCCCTATCCATCCCCCCTCCCTCTTATTCTTCCCCCCAGGTGCTCCATTTGATGAACAAGATGAGCCTGCCCCCCCCCTTTGGCCCAGTCATCCTCTCCTCATCCTTGCAGCCCACCGCACTGCACCCCGCTGTACCGCAGCCAGTGTCACAACCACCATGCCCACCCAACGCACCACATCAGCCAGGCACATCCAACCCACCACCTTCTGCCTCCTCCCACTCCACCTCCTCCCAAAGCCAAACAACCGCCCCTACTCAAGCACCCCAACCGTCTCACCCATCTCAACCACTCCAACCACCTCAAGCACTCCACCCACCTCCACCACCCCAACCACCTTATCCCCAACCCCAGCCACCTCAACAATCCCACTCATTGCAATGGCGCCCTCACCACCCTCCATCCGGCCGTCCTGCCCTTGCTCCCGAGGTGACTCTTGAGTCAACTCAGAAGTCTCCCCAACCACCCCAACCACCTTATCCCCAACCCCAGCCACCACCTCAACCATCCCACTCATTGCGATGGCGCCCGCCCCAACCTCCATCCAGCCATCCTGCTCTCGCTCCCGAGGTGACTTTTGACTCGACTCAGAAGTCTCCCCAACCACCCCAACCACCTTATCCCCAACCCCAACCACCTCAGCCATCCCACTCATTGCAATGGCGCCCTCTCCACCCACCATCCAGTCGCCCCACCCTCGCTCCCTTGCCATCCCATCCCTCCTTTCCCCAGAGGCCTCCCTCCCTGGCGCCTCTCCCTCCGCATGCTCCACGTTTCCGTCACCCTACCCCCTTCCCTCCTCCCACTCCCTACTCTCCCGCGCTCTCTCCCTTCCCTCCACCTCCCTTGCACCGTCCACTCGCCCCACTCTCTAGTAACCCCCCTCCCTCTCACCCCCACCTTCAGTCTTACACCACCTCCATCCCCTTAGATTCGAGGCCTCAGGTCCCTCAAAGCACGCTTCCACCCGCTGTTGCTGACAATGCCCCTTCCTCCGCCCCCCACCCCAACACAAGCCGCCGCTTTGAGACGCCCTCACAGCCCCTCAGAGCGCAATCGCCCCTGCCAGCAGCTGCAGCAGCTGCAGCAGCAGCAGCAGCAGCAGCAGCAGCAGCAGCAGCAGCAGCAGCAGCAGCAGCAGCACCACCACCACCACCACCACCTTCCACCCCATCCAATGCAAGTCCTGGGACGTCTCGAAGCACCCTTCCACCCTCCACTGCTGTCAATGCCCCTCCCTCCTCCTCCCAACCCATCACAAGCCATCTTGAGACTCCCTCACAGCCCCTTACAGCACAGTCGCCCCTACCAGCAGTAGCAGCAGCTAGAGCATGCTTCTCCACCCCATTAGATGCCAGTCCCGGCACGCGGGCCCTGAACTCTACACTTAAAGCCCCGCAAACAGTCACTTCCAGTGCACAATCACCCCTGCCAGCACCACCAGCAGCTGCAGCAGCTTCTGCCCTATCGGATGCAAGTCTTGGGACACGTGTCCTGGGCTCTACACTGAAAGCGCAGACAGAAGGAAGAGAGGGAGGCGGAGCTTTCAAGAGGAAAAGAGTGGGAGGAGAGGTGGAGGAGGAGGAAGAGGAGGAGGAGGGAGGAGAAGGGGGTGAGTGGGAGGAGGGGGAGGAGAAGAGACTGGAGAGGGCTGGAGTGAGAAAGGTTGTTGTAGGAAGTGAAGGAGGGGTAGTAGGATGGGCAGCGTTGGTGGTCAAGAAAAGGGCACCTGTCTTGCAGGTAAATTCCTACTTTTTCCTTTGTTCTTCTTGAGATTGTCCCCTCTCCCTGCGGTGCTGTCCTTTGTCCATATCCTCTGATCCAGTTTGTCAGAACCTCAAAGTTTTTGAGACATCTCAGAACTAGATAACTACCTCCATATCCTCATATCCATCTTGACATAATGTATGTCCCTTCCTCCCTGTCGTGCTGCCTATCGTGTTCTCTTCTGTCCTCAGATCCAGCTGCGTCCAGAGAAGAAGAAGAAGCCGCGAACAAGGTGGGATCACGAAAACAAGCTGACAGAAAGCAACGCTGCAGTGACAGGCCAAGAGGTTGGCGTGGCAGTGACAGGCCAAGATGTGATGACAATGGGGAGGCAAAAGGAGAGCGGTGCGGTGGCACAGGGAGATGTAGATTCGGACGAGGTTCTGGGGAGGCAGGGGGAGAGCGGTGCTGGAGGTGGAGTTGTTGTGCTGGAGCGGTGCAGTGCAGTGGCACAGGGAGATGTAGATTCGGACGAGGTGCTGGGGAGGCAGCAGGAGAGTGGCGCTGGAGGTTGGGGTCGAGGCTCCCTGGCACGGGGAGAGTTAGATTTGGACAAGGTGGAGGGGAGGACTTTTGAGGCGCCTCAAAAGGCACAAGGAGATGTAGATTCGGACGAGGTGGAGGGGAGGCGGGGGGATGGAGTGGGTTTGGAAGGAGGGGAGAAGGAGCACACAAACCAGGGCAGGGAAAAGTGGGCAACAGGGGGAGTCAAGGAGATCAGCACAGTGGCACAGGGAGATGTAGATTCGGACGAGGTGGAGGGGAGGCAGCAGGATGGAGTGAGTTTGGAAGGAGGGACAGAGATAGAGCACGCAAATGAGAGCAGGGAAAAGCGGGCGACTGATGTGGGGGAGGTTGGGGCGAAGGCAGAGGAGGAAGGTGTGGGGGGAACGGAGAGGGGAGCGGTGGGGGAGAAGGTTGGTGGAAGAGGGATGACAGGGACGAGCAGCTTGGCGGATGGGTGTAATGGTGTGGCGAAGGGGAGGTATGAGGCGGATTTGAGAGGGGAGAGTGGTGAGGACAGGGCTACACTGGAGGAGCTGAGGAGAGAGCAGCTGACAAGGGAGCAGTTGCTGGAGTGTGCTTCGTATAAGGTAATTATACAATCGAAGAAATGAGTGTGCAGTGTAAAAGGTGAGAATGCAAAGGCAAGAGGCAAAGCGAGAGTGTGCAGCATATAAGGTGGGAAGAAGATGTATGCATACACCATGTGTGTATAAGGCAAGAGGCAGTGTGCAGTGTATAAGGTGAGACTGCTAAGGCAAGAGGCAGTGTGCGAGTGTGCACTGCAGGTTGATAAGAAGGTGGGCTAGGTTTGCATTGCCTCCGTCCGTCAGCCTTATTTCCTTCTAATTTTCAAGTGTGTGATGTGCGTTAAATAAGGCGCCTCATATATATATGTATGTATGTATATTATGCTGTACATATATGTTTTCTCTCAAATGGTCCGTATATTGAAACAGCCAAGTACAAAGGAGCGGGCAGGCCAGGTAAGTCACAACAAAACAGATTTCAGGTGTTGTTGTGACTTACCTGGTTTTTTAGTTTGGAACGTCTCAAAACTCGCGTTGGTTTGAGTGATCTGTTTTTCATCCATGAATGCATGTGCGTGGGTGTGTGTGGGTGTGTCCGTGTGGGTGCTTTTGTGCGTGTGTGCATGTGTTTTGCATGTGTGTGTGTGCAGAACTACAAGAGGGGTGAGCCTTCCACCACACTGTACATAAAGAACATTGCCAAGCCCACCACCACAGCCGACTTGTTCCGTCTCTTCGGTCAGTCACCTTCATTCGTACTCACACTCAGTCAGTCAGTATGTTGGTCGGTCCATCGGTCAATGCATCAGTATATACCTTGCCCCTTACGTACCTTTGAAAAAAGCACCTGAAAATGCACACACACCTCTGCGTTTCACTGTACTGTATCCCAGGTCTACCCTTGAACACCTCGTTTCTTGCATCTTTTGAACTTTTCAGCTGCTAATGGCCTTGCCATTTACCACGTTCATCTTCCGTGCACCTTCTCCCCTGTTCTTCCCATCAACCCCCTCATCCGTCCATGTCTCCTTGGGTCACCAGGAGCATTTTTCCCGGGCGATTCCGACTGGAAGTCCAGGATAGGAGTTCGTCTCATGCAGGTATTTTTGCTGGTGACCTGTTTTGCCGTTTGGATATGCCGTGACACATTGTAAACCCTTAGCATCAGCATGTACTTTTGATTGAGATTGTTAGAATAATGTTTCTGCTTAGGTGCTAACTTCATCTTCTTTTTATTCTTCTTTTGAAATTATTTTCAAGCCCCACGCTCGTGAATGTGGCTGATTTATATCAAGCCCATTTGATGACATCTGATCTGATTCTCTTTGAAATCCCTCGATGGCATTGCATGTGACCCCTCAGGCAACCCCCTGGCCCATCCTCCCTTGAAATGCCTCTGTCCTGCTCGTACGTTCATGTTTCTCGTACATTTAATATACTGTGATTCGTTTACAAATTTCTCTATGGTATTGCATGTGTTCCCTCGTTAACCGCCCTGGCCCATCCGCCCTGCACGTACGTTTATGATTCTCTTGCATTCTGATTTCTATGGCATGATGTGTGGATATGGACGGAACCTTTGATAGGAAGGCCGGATGAAGGGCCAAGCATTTGTCACACTTCCAACTCCAGAGCTTGCTACAGAAGCATTGGTAAGTCGCGCTTACATAAAGGTCATGGCTGCAGTTCATTAATGTTTTATCTCTGGAGCGTGGACTGTCGAGGGCCGGATAGTATTTTATTTGGCTCTTTCAAATGCTACATATTTTTTGTTTAAACATCACTTTCTGCAGGATGCCACACTTGGCCTTGTGTTGCACGGGAAACCAATTATTGTGCAATTTGGCCGAAAATAAGTCGGATGTATCTCGACTCAAGGTATGAAATACTACTTGCTAGTTTGTACTGCCTCCAAGAATTTTATATCGTTGCTCTGCACACTCTGGAAAGGAGAGTGAGAAATGGACAACAAGCCACATAGAAGTTATGCTTGTGAAGCTATTACCCAAATCCTTGGTATCGAATCATGAAGACTAGTAATGAATATCACAAACTTCCAAAAACCTTTTGCACCGATGTTCAGTGTTTTGAATGTACGGTAGAATGTAATTCTGGTACTTGCTAGAATCGCGGTGTTCCTTATTCCACATAGGTGTTGGTGACCAGCCATTGGGCAAGGGCAACGGCTAGGCGTAGGTCCATACTAGATTTAGGGGTGAGTGGAAACCACTAGCAATACACAGTTTTTTGTAGGGCATCGAGGTCGATATTGTCACATATTCAGCCTCAAGTTTTTCACCGGCCTAAGGAAATGCTCTCACGATGTGGCATTTCACTTCGTATGTTCGGCGGCGTGATCGTGGGTGCAGGCAAAACGACACGGCTCGAAATGCGGCGCGCCGAAGTGTCACATTGAATTTCACATTCACTTGGAAGTATAAATCTGAGGGGGAGTTCCCACGGTTTGGACAAGTATGAGTCTGCCCACGCGGCTCGCAAGTTTCCAATGTTTGTAAAAATTGAATGGTTGCGACTCCAGGTCTGGACACCATGTCCAAACAATCTGGGTCGTAAGATCCGTAATGGTTACCCAATCGAACGTCTGACGACAACATCCGCAAACCACGGTGTAAAGTGGAGTCGAAGGGCAGGGTAACGAATCACTTTTGGGGCAAAAGCGTTTCAAAAATCAAAGTCAACTCTCTTCCCGTACGGAAACCAAAGTCAACTCCACGCTCGAACAAACAGAACTACTTGGAAAAATACACATGAAAATTAAAGCTGGAACTCGCCATGGTTGGCGAAATTTCGTTTTGCTCTGTAATTGGAGGCGATATTGAAGCCGAATTTGCGAATGTTGAGCATAAAGCAGTGCGGTGTCCAAAGTGGGGAAGTACCCCACCATGGACACCATCCTGCCGATTTACGAGCCGCGTGGGCAGACTCACGTCTTGTCCAAACCGTGGGAACGCCATCTGAGGCAGCCTCAAATTCATTCAGCACAGCAATCGTTGAGCCTCTCGACTAAACAAGCTACTACCATACCACTACCTAGTTCTACTGGCATTCTGCTTCTTTAATCGCCATAAAACGGCAACCATGGCTCAGAAGGTCGCTGTTTTCGTCGTCACCTTAGCATGCCTCGCCGCAGTAGGTAAGCTGACAATAAATTCCTTCGCAGTCACACCATCCAATGACGTCACCAGCAATATCTACTGAACCAGATTGCTTATCACGGATGCAAACGCTGTGAACTCTCTCATAGCACACAAGCTGACGGATTTCGTGAGTTTTTTCGCAGGTTTTGCGCGCCCTCCAGCGAGCGTTCGCACTCAGCTGGCGAAGATTGAGAAGAACGACGTGTTCCTGGGAACGTACCAGGGGTCGCTCTATGCTGAGCTGGACCACGTGGACGGCGCCGACAAGATGTCAGACGGCTATGCCTACCTGGCAGTCTACAAGTAAGCTCATGCATGGTGATGCCAGAATGTGAAAGTGAGAAAAATAACTGAAAAACAATTCCTGCACTCGACAATCACATATCTGCCACCTGAAAATGCAAACCCGCCGCACCATCTCTCACTTGAAAATGCTACTCGACGAAGTAAAATGTCACAGATTTCACAATTCGTTCGATACTGACCCGTGATGGATTCGCGTTTCAATGTGTTCCAAGAAGGACGATGATTACAACATTCGCTTCGGAGGAGAGGCTGAATCCAAGGAGCCTGGGGAACCCACCGCGTTCACAGTCAACAGCGCGGCTGACAACAGCCTGGTTATCGACCTGGGCGCGGGACAGACGTACAAGAACGCCACGTACGAGCTCCGCGTGTTCAAGTTCCTGCAGAAATTCATTCCGTACTCGTACAAATTCAAGGGCAAGTGGACGCAGGCGAGCACCGTTACCGTCGCCGCGGGCACGCTCAAGGACACCGTTGACGCGATGAAGCAGAACCCTAAAAACTACTACGCGATTTTCAACACTGCGACGAACCCTGCTGGTTGCGCCAAGGGCGAGTTTGACTTCATCCAGCCGTGGTGGAAGCGCCTGTAGGCACAGGATGGGAAATTCTAGCAGTAACAAGGAGCTCAGTTCAGCATGTGCTGAAGAAAACCTAGGTTTGGATCTTGTTTTGAGGGGAAGTGTGCTAGTTGATCCTGATGTGTAGGGCCTTGGTGTGCAAGTGCAGGGTGTAGGTTCACTCTCTTGGTGAACATTTTCCTCCAATTGTAGGGACTTTTTTCTTTTGTGGTGGGCTGCTGTTTGACTGGAGGTAATACATATATTGATCAACTTTGTTTATAGCGCCGAAATATACAGGAACGGTTTGAGACACTTGGTGTAAGGAAAATTCCTTTTCCTTACTTCGCGTCACTGCTTACCGCGTACATGCCCGTTCCCGCCATCGGCACCCATCCGTGAACGTTACCCGCTCGCGACATTCGCCTCGACCACGACTCCCGCCACTATTCACGAGGCGACCCAACCTCACGGTTCGGTTGGTAACCCGCGCTCCGGACCTCCGCCTCGACAATTCCCAACCTCGGCGCACCCCAATTTCCCGCATTACCGTTACCACACTTGCTTCTGTTGGAAACAAGTGATTTAAGCGCTTCTGATGTGTCGAAACACTGAACTGCAAGCGAAGCAAACTACAACGAAGCAATGGCGAGTCAACCATCGGAGGTTGACAAGAGAAGTAATTGCTCGAGGTTACGCGAAGGTCAAAGGTCAGCGACCTTTGACTTGACAAATACAGCGCGACAGCAAGGACAAACAACGGACTCGATACTGAGCAGTTGCCCGAGTCGTCACTGTATCGAACCGCAACAGCAACAGTAAAATAGTTATTAGTTGCACCCTTTCATATTCCTTGTAATCTTATAAAAGGCTTGTATTACTTTCTTATAATTAATCTATCTTGCCCTCACATACTAGCGCAAGGTGGTTCAATACTTCTCATTAAAACGCTTCCGCAACCGCAACACTTCTACTCTGACTTTAGCCTTGCAGAGATCCTAAGGGCTTTTCTCAGCCCAACATGGTATGAGAGCTAACAAGGCAAAACTCCATTTCGTTCAAACTCCTACAACATCAGAAGGCATGGCAACACAGAAGGAGAGAAGCTCCTCTAATGGCTCTCCCGGCACTACTCCTACTCCACCTCCAGCCTCTGGCCTACAGACAGAGGGAGGTACAGCAACAAGACCAGCAGCTGAGTCTACTGAGACTCCCGTGAACCAAGCGACAGGCTTCGACCCAAGTATGATGGAGAAATTCTTCTCCTTCATGTCCTTCTACGAACAACATCAGCAAGCGGCACCTGCCCAGTCAAACATCAGCAACAACAACAACGACGTTACGCCCATGAGCCTCGACGGTTCATCCTATGCGCGCGGAAACCAGCAGCAACCCACCTTTGCTCCGTATGAGCCTCAACGTGGCTCGATCAGCTTCATGCCACACCAGCAGTCTCAACCTGGACAGGAGAAAACACTGGATGCACTTCAGGTTCAATCACAGTTCGTGTCAGAATCCCAACCACTAGACCATTGGGATAAAAGGGCTTGTTAAGTAGCGGGTCAGTGCGCCCATAACCCCCAGGACAACGAGCCTGTAACCCTTCCCTAGGATCAATCGGGGATCACCAGTGGACCTCTGACACCCCCCCGCACTGGGATGCCCGAAGTGCACACACTGGGATTCGAACCCGAGACCTTCGCTCTGATACCATGTCAGAATCCCAACCACTAGACCATTGGGATAAAAGGGCTTGTTTCAGTAGCGGGTCAGTGCGCCCATAACCCCCCAGGCTAACGAGCCTGTAACCCTTCCCTAGGATCAATCGGGGATCACCAGTGGACCTCTGACAGTTCGCGCACGTTTTGAAACTTCAGACATCAACACCTTTCGACGGGAAGGATTTTTATACCTGGTCATTCGAGTTTGAGCTGACGATGGAAGGCACGCAGATTCTCGGATTCTTCGACGGGACCCTGCCATACCCAACACACGGAACGCAATACGACAAGCAGCAGTACACATATCAGTCAATGATGGCATACACGATCCTGCTGAGGAACTTAACTCCAAACCAGCAGCAGAACATCCGTTCTTATCGAGGATACGGCAACTCCGCCGAGCTCGCGTACAACCATTTGAAGAATCTGTATCAAGCAACAGACAGCGTCAATCGGAGTCGGTTGCTGACAACAGTGGAGATGAAACCCGGCGAAAAGGGGATGGCATATATCAGCCGCTGCCGCGAGTTGCGCGTCAAACTCCTTCGATGCGGAGGATCGATATCTGAAGAAGCCTTCGTCACAGTTGTCATCACTGGTCTTAGTCCTCATTGGCGCTCTACTCGAGCTATTCTCCGAGCTCACGGGAAGATCTCCGAAGTGGCACTCTGCGCCGAAATACACGCCGAACAACAAGACATGGACCTGCATGAGGAACGGCACAAGAAGAAAACATCAGTACCCGAATTCGCATTTCACACCCAGCGGCGCTTTAACAACTCCAACCGACAGAATAAACAACAACAGCAATAGCACGTACCACCGTTCTGTCATCTCTGCAAGACGTCTGGACACCCCCGTACGCACTGTCCAAGTCTGAGACAGTCAACGACACCACAACGACAACTTCGACCTTCAAGCAGCCAAGTCGCTTCAACACCAGCGCATCCTACTCCTCAAGTTCAAGCCTCGACAACGTCAACAACGCAATCTGCACAAGGGACAAGAAACATCGTGAGCTGCATGGCGAGACAGACACCTTACTACTCACCGGAAGAACAACTCGATGTAAGCACTCCTCGCCGCGAGTCACTGGAGCCGAACCCGACATACGCAGACATCGCCCAGAGCAAGCCATCCGGGAAAGACACTTGGTTCTTGGATAGTTGCTGCGGACAACACATGTGCTCCACGGGTCGCTTCGTTCAAAAGGAACACCAACTTCAACGCGAAGTAGTCATCACCGTCGCCAACAATCAGAACCTGCGCACACGACGACAAGGCATTGTCCAACTTCAGTCAAGAGAAACCAATGTCATACTGCAAATGTCAAAAGTTTTAATCGCGGAGGGACTCGGCTACAACTTACTCAGCGTCAGCCAGTTGATGGCGAAAGGCATCCACCTCGAAGCAGACAGCACCAGACAGGAGTTTAAACTATACCACGGGAAGGGAGGTCTCTACATCGGCAAGGCAGTGCTGAAGAATAACGTTTTCGTCCTCGACTTCGTTCCAGATCAAGGCACCACAGACAGCGACGGGATCGTCACATTCGCTCCCTAGACACATCCACCAGACCTCGACCCCGACTTCAGCCCCGGCAGCTTCTGGTACTCGAACACGGTACCTGAGGCAGAACGAACACGAGCATTAGCAACAATCCAACAAGCAGCAGAGACAACATCGGCAGTAGCAGAGACAACATCGGCAGCAGCAGAGACAACATCGGCAGCAGCAGAGACAACATCGGCAGCAGGAGAGACAACATCGGCAGCAGCAGAGACAACATCGGCAGCAGCAGAGACAACACCAATCGCGGGTCCTTCAACGGCACCAGCTCCAATCGACGATACTCCACCGACTCCTGCGCAGCAGTTGACACCTACTCCACGAGAGGTTCATAGAAGCGCCAATTTCGCCGCCGGTTTTTACTCCAACTCCGACTTGTACAGGCGCTCACCCGGACATCGCGCTGGCGAAGACATCTGGCACGCAAGAATGGGACATCCAAGCAATACAACGTTAAACAACACGATAAGAGCAGGAGTACTCGACAAGGACTCTCTACTACTACCCGACGGCAGAGAACTTCAACGAGTTTGAGGAACATGCCTCACCTGCCCTGAAGCCGACTTACCGCATCAGTCGTTCGTCTCGCATCACAACCCGAGTGCACCAGCGTACGCACCTCTGGAGAAAGTATACAGCGATATACTGTATAATCGGGAGCCTGGTCAAGGAGCATATAACTATGTCATCACCTTCATCGACGCCGCCACACGATACGTATGGCATCTAAACCTCCCGAGCCGCGACATGGCCTTCGAAGCCTTCGTCGCCTGGCTTCCAGTAGCAGAACGAGAATCAGGAGTGAAGCTGAAAAGCTTCCAGTCAGACGGGGGAGGAGCATACACATCACAGAGGTTCACACAGTACCTGGCGGAGAGAGGCATCAAGCGACTTCTCTCTCTTCCCTACGCTCACCAACAGCAAGGCGTGGCAGAAAGAATGAACAGGACCCTCCAGAACACCATGCGCAAGCTGCTACGTGGCATGCGGCTACCCAACCACCAGTGGCCTGAAGCGATGGACCACGCCGTCATGCTGCACAACTTTCTCTCATCATCATCGCTCCCGAACAACGCATCACCGCATCTGCTGTGGACAGGAAAATTGGGCAACACAAAAATGTTACGAGTGTTCGGCTGCATGGTACAGTACCGACCCCCAGCTGCACGTGCCGGTCGATTCTCCCAACGAGCACAATGGGGGCTACACCTGGGCATTGAAAAACATTACAACGCATGGAAGATTTTCGACATCAACACAAAGGAAACAGTGGCAGCACGTGATGTCCTCTTCTATGAACGCCTCACTCTTCCAACATACATGTACAAATTGGAAACCTCACGGAATGTCACAGGCGGATTTCGTGGGGACCGAGCCTTCGCTTCGGCAGCAGATGAAGCTGAGTGGGATGAACAGAACGTGGACAGAGCTTCGGAGGACGCCGTACCTCTCCCCTACTGCTCAGTGGACATCCCAATGGATGACGACAACCCTCGCGAAAGCGTCAACGCCGAAGTCTTCTACGACTTCGCTGACACTGGTTACGTTACACCCGCACGAGTCAACACCGACGAAGCAGAACGCATAGGACCTAATTTCTTACCTGATCCAGAAGCAGGAGACGAAGCAGCTTATCCCGAGGACGCAAATCTTCCCCGCTACACACAGAGTGGACTCCATATACTCGGGCTCGTCACCGCAGTCCACGGCACGGCGCCGCCTAAGGAGCCTGCCACAGTTCAGCAGGCTCTAGGGGGGGAGCACAGGGAAAAATGGCGCGAGGCCATGGACAAGGAGTTAAAAGCGCTGGAAGAACGCAATACCTGGAAAATCGTTCCCACCGGCGTGGCACGCAACAAGACAATCCTCACCGGGAAATGGGTTTTCCGCGTGAAAACCAAAGCAGACGGCACCATCGACAAGTTTAAAGCACGCTGGGTCGTACGCGGTTTTGACCAAGAGCACGGACGGGACTTCACCGAAACGTTCGCACCGGTCAGCCGACACACCTCTCTGCGGATTCTCCTCGCGATAGCCGCCATGAAGAAGAAGAAGCTACGCCAAATCGACGTCGCCAACGCGTTTCTCTACGCACCTGTCGATGCTGAGATCTTTGTCGAGCAACCACACGGCTCCAACACAGACCCCAACCAAGTCTGTCAACTGCTGAAGTCTCTGTACGGCATCAAACAGGCCCCGAGACTGTAGCAGCAATACCTTCACGCGCGGCTCATCCGCATCGGATTCCGCCAGCTACCGCACGACCAGGGCATGTACCGGCTCACGTAAGGCATCGACTACATCCTGCTGATCGTCTACGTGGACGATCTACTCTACATCGGCTCGACCGACGGCATCACAACTTGGTTCGAAGGGGAGCTGCAGCGGGACTTAACGCTCACCGTCTCATCCACCGTAACACAATACCTCAGACTCAACATACAGGAAGAAGAAAACGCGATCTACCTCAACGCCGCAAAATACGCCGACACCATCGCGAAACGCTTCGGATTAACTCCAACTTCTATCTCCACACCGTACCGCTACACCTCCGCAAGCCACGAAGGAATCTCCGCACCACTCAAGCCCGCCGGCATACGCGACTACCAGCGAAAGCTAGGATGTCTCCTCTTCACAGCAGTCACATGCCGACCTAACCTATCGTACTCGGCAAGCCAACTCGCCACCTACCTCAAGAAGCCTGAAGCAGATCACATGGCCGAGCTCGACCGCGCTCTTCACTATCTCGTCAGTACTTCGACGATCGGCCTGACCTACTACAAAAACGGAACCTCAACACCTAAGCTAATCGGCTATGTAGACGCCGACCACGCCGGCGACGCTGACAACAGGCGCTCGCGCACCGGCTACATCTATCGACTTGAACCTATCGGGCCTATCTCGTGGCAGTCGAGCAAGCAGGAACTAATCGCTCTTTCTTCAGCTGAAGCAGAATATATTGCACTCTGCTCCGCCACCAAGGAAGGATTATACCTTCGCGAACTACTGGAAGAAGCGAAGCTGGCCCAGTTACCCAGCTTCTCTCTGTTTTGTGACAATCAGTCAGCAATTCGCATCGCCAACAAGAATGGATTCGTGAACAGAACGAAGCACATTGCCCTGCGATACTTCTTCGTGAAGGACGAGATCGAGAAGGGGAGACTTGAGCTGTCCTACTGTCCCACGTCCGAGATGGTAGCTGATTACTTGACCAAGAAGCTCGGAAAACATAAATTCGAGTACTGCATGATGCTGACTGGACAAAGTCACGTCACCAGCGGCGCCACTCCAGAAGCGAAGGGGAGTGTTGGAAACAAGTGACTTAAGCGCTTCTGATGTGTCGAAACACTGAACTGCAAGCGAAGCAAACTACAACGAAGTAACGACGAGTCAACCATCGGAGGTTGACAAAAGAAGTAACTGCTCGAGGTTACGCGAAGGTCAAAGGTCAGCGACCTTTGAGTTGACAAATACAGTGCGACAGCAAGGACAAACAACGGACTCGATACTGAGCAGTTGCCCGAGTCGTCACTGTATCGAACCGCAACAGCAACAGTAAAACAGTTATTAGTTGCACCCTTTCATATTCCTTGTAATCTTATAAAAGGCTTGTATTACTTTCTTATAATTAATCTATCTTGCCCTCACATACTAGCGCAAGGTGGTTCAATACTTATCATTAAAACGCTTCCGCAACTACAACACTTATACTCTGACTTTAGCCTTGCAAGGATCCTAAGGGCTTTTCTCAGCCCAACAACTTCGCTATATAACTTCGCTCATGCTTTTCGCTCAACTGTATTGATTGCTTCGATAGTGCAATTCTCACTCGCTCGTTCAATTGCACTCGTAACACTTGGAAATATTACAGGGTTTGGAAGCTGAGCTAGTAGCTTTGGGTTGGGAGTACCTTGGGTAGATTTGAGCTGTGTGTTTCCCTGCTGGTGGTTCTTTATTTGCAATCTGAAATGGAGTACTCATAATTATCGATTGAAGTGTACATTTGTGCTGAAAGGGGGAAAGATATGCGGTGCAGATTCATGCCGTGCGAATTGGTTGAAGCAGCTACCAGGAAAACATGCACACTTTGGAAAATTATTATCAGACACCAACATTCTTCGATCAGCTTCATTTCTTTATATTCAAAACTGTACGAATCAATGAAAAATTTGCATTGCGATCAGACTGAATAACTGCGTGCGTACACGTTTCATTTCAAAACAAAGTTTCTGGCACAAAACAATGTTGAGAAGTTGGTTATGCAGTGGTAGAGTGTAATCGGAGTTATTCGAAATTGTCATTTTTGGACTAAATCAGGTCGAGAAGGGAGCCAGGATTGTAACATTTTCGCCATCTCCGTCCAGTCGCAAAGCAGCAGTGGCGGGCACAACTGCACTTTATACTAACTCCAATGCTAAGGAAATTAGCATATGTCCACTTTCCCCCGTAACGAGCGGAAAATAGCGAGTCGCAGCGTTATACACTTCTCTCCCACCGCCCCCTTCCCCATTTCCCCCCTCGAATGGCGGCCGTAGCCGCCGCAAACCCATCCGCTGCGGCAATCGCGCCGCCGTCAGCGTCGGCGCCGACGGCGGCGCCGGAGGCGGCGGAGAGCGTGCGGCAGTTTCGTCTAGAGCGCGAGACGGAGCTGCGCGTCGAGGTGGAGTGGGACGCGAAGCTAACGGTGAAGCTTGTATCGGGTACGGCGGAGATCTTCGGGTCGGAGATCGCGGTCGGGCAAAACGTCACCTTCGACGGCGGGGAGAAATTCGCGGTGCGTGGGTGCGCAGGGGGAGGGGGGGCGGGCGGGCGGGGGCGCGCGGGCGGATGGCAGAGGGCGGAGGGCGGAGGGCGGAGGGCGGAGGGGGGGGCGGAGGGCAGAGGGCGGAGAGAGGGCGGAAAACGGCCCGTTTTTGGGAGAAAGGGGGGAAAGAGTAGAATATGGGAGAAGTGGGGAAACAAGAGGGGGAGGGGGAAAGGGGGGGGGAGTGGGGGGTGAGGGGAAAGGAGGGTACGGGAAAAGGGAACAAGGAGGAGGGAATGGGGGAACTGGGTGAATGGAAGAATGGGGAAACCAGGGAAGGGGAGAAAGAGGGAACGGAAACGGAGTTCCCAGGTGAAAGCGAGGTGTGGTGTGGACCAGACCAAACCATCGGTGGTGGGTGGGTGGGCGGTGGCCACTATCCCTCTCCTGCTACCCTTTTTTACCGTTCTCTACCCCTCTTCCCTTTTTGCCCTCGTCCCTCGGCCACCCCAGGTGTTCTCCTGGCACAGGTGCAGTCTGGAGATCCGCAGGCGGGTGTATTGGTATATCCCCTTCCCCTTCTTGTTCCAACCTTCCCCCCTCTTCCACTCGCCTCCCCTTTTCTCACCCCTCCCCCAGGTGTTCACCTGGCACGGGTGCGGTCTGGAGATGCGCGGGCGGGTGTATTGGCAATTTGGCATATCCCCTTCCCCCTCTTCCACTCGCCTCCCCAAACCAAAACCCCCCCCCCGTCTCCCACCAGGTACTCACCCTCCCCCTCTACCAATTTGGCACGGGTGCGGTCTGGAGGTGCGCAGTTACATCGGCAAATCCCTCTCCCTGGCTTATTCCAACCCTTCTCCCATTTCACACTCCCCTCCCCCGCTCCCCTCCCCCCCCACCCCCTCCGCCTCTCCAGGTGTTCACCTGGCACGGGTGCAGTCGGTAGATGCGCGTGCGGGTGTACTCCCTTCCCCCGCTTGTTCCGACCCTTTTTCCCTCCTCCACTCGCCTCGCCTCCCCCCATGCTCCCCACCCCCAGGTGTTCACCTGGCACGGGTGCAGTCTGGAGGTGCGGGGGTCGCCAACACTGCCAGATGCCATGTATGCTGCTGACGAGGTGGGGAGTAAGAGGGGGGGAGGGAGGAGGTGGAGGGGAGGGTGGGGTAGGTGGGTATGGTGCGTATTTGTGTCTTTATGTCGCCAGCTTTGCTAGATGCCATGTATGCTGCAGACGAGGTACGGGGGGAAGGAGGAAGAGATGGGACTGGGATGGGAGGAGGGATGGGCGAATAGGTAGGGGGGCGGGTGCGTTGTGTGTGTGTGTCTTTGGGTCCCCAACACTGCCAGATGCCATGTATGCTGCTGACGAGGTATGGAAGGAGGACTGTGAGTGTGAGCGACTGTCTTTGGTGCTGCTCTGTGTGCGTAGTGTCTTTGGGTCGCCAACACTGCCAGATGCCATGTATGCTGCAGACGAGGTGGGAGTAGAGAAGGGGGGGACGGGGGAAGATGTAGGGGGACGCGTGTGGTGCATGTGTTGTCTTTGGTTTGCCAGCACTGCCGGATGCCATGTATGCTGCAGACCAGGTGGAGAGGGGAGAGTGCTGAGGGGTGCGTGTGGTGCATGGTGTGCTGATGGGGAAGATATAGGGGGTTGCGTGTGGTGCGTGTGGTGCATGTGTTGTCCTTGGGTTGCCGGCACGACGTGTGTCGAATGGAAACATTTCAGAGCTTCGCGCCTAACTACCACCCTGCTTTTTTTGTCCCGTTACCCTTCTTCACCACTCTCCACCTACCACTTTTCCTCTCCCCACTCCCCAGACCCCCATGGTGAGCTATCTGAATCTTCACGCGGTGCTGAACGTGCGGCGAGTTGAGTCAGCAAGGAGCCTCATGTGCGCCCAACCCGCCTGCTGTTTCCCCCCCTTACCTCACTCCCCCTTCCTCCCCCCCAGACCCCCATGGTGAGCTATCTGAATCTTCACGCGGTGCTGAACGTGCGGCGAGTTGAGTCAGCAAGGAGCCTCATGTGCGCCCAACCCGCCTGCTGTTTCCCCCCCTTACCTCACTCCCCCTTCCTCCCCCCCAGACCCCCATGGTGAGCTATCTGAATCTTCACGCGGTGCTGAACGTGCGGCGAGTTGAGTCAGCAAGGAGCCTCATGTGCGCCCAACCCGCCTGCTGTTTCCCCCCCTTACCTCACTCCCCCTTCCTCCCCCACAGACCCCCATGGTGAGCTATCTGAATCTTCACGCGGTGCTGAACGTGCGGCGAGTTGAGTCAGCAAGGAGCCTCATGTGCGCCCAACCCGCCTGCTGTTTCCCCCCCTTACCTCACTCCCCCTTCCTCCCCCCCAGACCCCCATGGTGAGCTATCTGAATCTTCACGCGGTGCTGAACGTGCGGCGAGTTGAGTCAGCAAGGAGCCTCATGTGCGCCCAACCCGCCTGCTGTTTCCCCCCCTTACCTCACTCCCCCTTCCTCCCCCCCAGACCCCCATGGTGAGCTATCTGAATCTTCACGCGGTGCTGAACGTGCGGCGAGTTGAGTCAGCAAGGAGCCTCATGTGCGCCCAACCCGCCTGCTGTTTCCCCCCCTTACCTCACTCCCCCTTCCTCCCCCCCAGACCCCCATGGTGAGCTATCTGAATCTTCACGCGGTGCTGAACGTGCGGCGAGTTGAGTCAGCAAGGAGCCTCATGTGCGCCCAACCCGCCTGCTGTTTCCCCCCCTTACCTCACTCCCCCTTCCTCCCCCCCAGACCCCCATGGTGAGCTATCTGAATCTTCACGCGGTGCTGAACGTGCGGCGAGTTGAGTCAGCAAGGAGCCTCATGTGCGCCCAACCCGCCTGCTGTTTCCCCCCCTTACCTCACTCCCCCTTCCTCCCCCCCAGACCCCCATGGTGAGCTATCTGAATCTTCACGCGGTGCTGAACGTGCGGCGAGTTGAGTCAGCAAGGAGCCTCATGTGCGCCCAACCCGCCTGCTGTTTCCCCCCCTTACCTCACTCCCCCTTCCTCCCCCCCAGACCCCCATGGTGAGCTATCTGAATCTTCACGCGGTGCTGAACGTGCGGCGAGTTGATTCAGCAAGGAGCCTCATGTGCGCCCAACCCGCCTGCTGTTTCCCCCCCTTACCTCACTCCCCCTTCCTCCCCCCCAGACCCCCATGGTGAGCTATCTGAATCTTCACGCGGTGCTGAACGTGCGGCGAGTTGAGTCAGCAAGGAGCCTCATGTGCGCCCAACCCGCCTGCTGTTTCCCCCCCTTACCTCACTCCCCCTTCCTCCCCCCCAGACCCCCATGGTGAGCTATCTGAATCTTCACGCGGTGCTGAACGTGCGGCGAGTTGAGTCAGCAAGGAGCCTCATGTGCGCCCAACCCGCCTGCTGTTTCCCCCCCTTACCTCACTCCCCCTTCCTCCCCCCCAGACCCCCATGGTGAGCTATCTGAATCTTCACGCGGTGCTGAACGTGCGGCGAGTTGAGTCAGCAAGGAGCCTCATGTGCGCCCAACCCGCCTGCTGTTTCCCCCCCTTACCTCACTCCCCCTTCCTCCCCCCCAGACCCCCATGGTGAGCTATCTGAATCTTCACGCGGTGCTGAACGTGCGGCGAGTTGAGTCAGCAAGGAGCCTCATGTGCGCCCAACCCGCCTGCTGTTTCCCCCCCTTACCTCACTCCCCCTTCCTCCCCCCCAGACCCCCATGGTGAGCTATCTGAATCTTCACGCGGTGCTGAACGTGCGGCGAGTTGAGTCAGCAAGGAGCCTCATGTGCGCCCAACCCGCCTGCTGTTTCCCCCCCTTACCTCACTCCCCCTTCCTCCCCCCCAGACCCCCATGGTGAGCTATCTGAATCTTCACGCGGTGCTGAACGTGCGGCGAGTTGAGTCAGCAAGGAGCCTCATGTGCGCCCAACCCGCCTGCTGTTTCCCCCCCTTACCTCACTCCCCCTTCCTCCCCCCCAGACCCCCATGGTGAGCTATCTGAATCTTCACGCGGTGCTGAACGTGCGGCGAGTTGAGTCAGCAAGGAGCCTCATGTGCGCCCAACCCGCCTGCTGTTTCCCCCCCTTACCTCACTCCCCCTTCCTCCCCCCCAGACCCCCATGGTGAGCTATCTGAATCTTCACGCGGTGCTGAACGTGCGGCGAGTTGAGTCAGCAAGGAGCCTCATGTGCGCCCAACCCGCCTGCTGTTTCCCCCCCTTACCTCACTCCCCCTTCCTCCCCCCCAGACCCCCATGGTGAGCTATCTGAATCTTCACGCGGTGCTGAACGTGCGGCGAGTTGAGTCAGCAAGGAGCCTCATGTGCGCCCAACCCGCCTGCTGTTTCCCCCCCTTACCTCACTCCCCCTTCCTCCCCCCCAGACCCCCATGGTGAGCTATCTGAATCTTCACGCGGTGCTGAACGTGCGGCGAGTTGAGTCAGCAAGGAGCCTCATGTGCGCCCAACCCGCCTGCTGTTTCCCCCCCTTACCTCACTCCCCCTTCCTCCCCCCCAGACCCCCATGGTGAGCTATCTGAATCTTCACGCGGTGCTGAACGTGCGGCGAGTTGAGTCAGCAAGGAGCCTCATGTGCGCCCAACCCGCCTGCTGTTTCCCCCCCTTACCTCACTCCCCCTTCCTCCCCCCCAGACCCCCATGGTGAGCTATCTGAATCTTCACGCGGTGCTGAACGTGCGGCGAGTTGAGTCAGCAAGGAGCCTCATGTGCGCCCAACCCGCCTGCTGTTTCCCCCCCTTACCTCACTCCCCCTTCCTCCCCCCCAGACCCCCATGGTGAGCTATCTGAATCTTCACGCGGTGCTGAACGTGCGGCGAGTTGAGTCAGCAAGGAGCCTCATGTGCGCCCAACCCGCCTGCTGTTTCCCCCCCTTACCTCACTCCCCCTTCCTCCCCCCCAGACCCCCATGGTGAGCTATCTGAATCTTCACGCGGTGCTGAACGTGCGGCGAGTCGAGTCAGCAAGGAGCCTCATGTGCGCCCAACCCGCCTGCTGTTTCCCCCCCTTACCTCACTCCCCCTTCCTCCCCCCCAGACCCCCATGGTGAGCTATCTGAATCTTCACGCGGTGCTGAACGTGCGGCGAGTTGAGTCAGCAAGGAGCCTCATGTGCGCCCAACCCGCCTGCTGTTTCCCCCCCTTACCTCACTCCCCCTTCCTCCCCCCCAGACCCCCATGGTGAGCTATCTGAATCTTCACGCGGTGCTGAACGTGCGGCGAGTTGAGTCAGCAAGGAGCCTCATGTGCGCCCAACCCGCCTGCTGTTTCCCCCCCTTACCTCACTCCCCCTTCCTCCCCCCCAGACCCCCATGGTGAGCTATCTGAATCTTCACGCGGTGCTGAACGTGCGGCGAGTTGAGTCAGCAAGGAGCCTCATGTGCGCCCAACCCGCCTGCTGTTTCCCCCCCTTACCTCACTCCCCCTTCCTCCCCCCCAGACCCCCATGGTGAGCTATCTGAATCTTCACGCGGTGCTGAACGTGCGGCGAGTCGAGTCAGCAAGGAGCCTCATGTGCGCCCAACCCGCCTGCTGTTTCCCCCCCTTACCTCACTCCCCCTTCCTCCCCCCTAGACCCCCATGGTGAGCTATCTGAATCTTCACGCGGTGCTGAACGTGCGGCGAGTTGAGTCAGCAAGGAGCCTCATGTGCGCCCAACCCGCCTGCTGTTTCCCCCCCTTACCTCACTCCCCCTTCCTCCCCCCCAGACCCCCATGGTGAGCTATCTGAATCTTCACGCGGTGCTGAACGTGCGGCGAGTTGAGTCAGCAAGGAGCCTCATGTGCGCCCAACCCGCCTGCTGTTTCCCCCCCTTACCTCACTCCCCCTTCCTCCCCCCCAGACCCCCATGGTGAGCTATCTGAATCTTCACGCGGTGCTGAACGTGCGGCGAGTTGAGTCAGCAAGGAGCCTCATGTGCGCCCAACCCGCCTGCTGTTTCCCCCCCTTACCTCACTCCCCCTTCCTCCCCCCCAGACCCCCATGGTGAGCTATCTGAATCTTCACGCGGTGCTGAACGTGCGGCGAGTCGAGTCAGCAAGGAGCCTCATGTGCGCCCAACCCGCCTGCTGTTTCCCCCCCTTACCTCACTCCCCCTTCCTCCCCCCCAGACCCCCATGGTGAGCTATCTGAATCTTCACGCGGTGCTGAACGTGCGGCGAGTTGAGTCAGCAAGGAGCCTCATGTGCGCCCAACCCGCCTGCTGTTTCCCCCCCTTACCTCACTCCCCCTTCCTCCCCCCCAGACCCCCATGGTGAGCTATCTGAATCTTCACGCGGTGCTGAACGTGCGGCGAGTCGAGTCAGCAAGGAGCCTCATGTGCGCCCAACCCGCCTGCTGTTTCCCCCCCTTACCTCACTCCCCCTTCCTCCCCCCCAGACCCCCATGGTGAGCTATCTGAATCTTCACGCGGTGCTGAACGTGCGGCGAGTTGAGTCAGCAAGGAGCCTCATGTGCGCCCAACCCGCCTGCTGTTTCCCCCCCTTACCTCACTCCCCCTTCCTCCCCCCCAGACCCCCATGGTGAGCTATCTGAATCTTCACGCGGTGCTGAACGTGCGGCGAGTTGAGTCAGCAAGGAGCCTCATGTGCGCCCAACCCGCCTGCTGTTTCCCCCCCTTACCTCACTCCCCCTTCCTCCCCCCCAGACCCCCATGGTGAGCTATCTGAATCTTCACGCGGTGCTGAACGTGCGGCGAGTTGAGTCAGCAAGGAGCCTCATGTGCGCCCAACCCGCCTGCTGTTTCCCCCCCTTACCTCACTCCCCCTTCCTCCCCCCCAGACCCCCATGGTGAGCTATCTGAATCTTCACGCGGTGCTGAACGTGCAGCGAGTCGAGTCAGCAAGGAGCCTCATGTGCGCCCAACCCGCCTGCTGTTTCCCCCCCTTACCTCACTCCCCCTTCCTCCCCCCCAGACCCCCATGGTGAGCTATCTGAATCTTCACGCGGTGCTGAACGTGCGGCGAGTCGAGTCAGCAAGGAGCCTCATGTGCGCCCAACCCGCCTGCTGTTTCCCCCCCTTACCTCACTCCCCCTTCCTCACCCCCAGACCCCCATGGTGAGCTATCTGAATCTTCACGCGGTGCTGAACGTGCGGCGAGTTGAGTCAGCAAGGAGCCTCATGTGCGCCCAACCCGCCTGCTGTTTCCCCCCCTTACCTCACTCCCCCTTCCTCCCCCCCAGACCCCCATGGTGAGCTATCTGAATCTTCACGCGGTGCTGAACGTGAGGCGAGTGGAGGCAGCTAGGAGCCTCATGCGTGCGAAGCAGCAACTGGCACAGCTGCAGCAGCAGCAACAGCAGCTGCAGTATCAACATCAGCAACGGCAGCAGCAGCATCCGCATCATCAGCAGCAGTATCAGCACCAGCTGCAGCGGTTGCAGCGGCACAAGCAGCAACTGGAGAACAAAATTAACTCCCTCGTTCTCACCAAGGTGATTCTCTCTCTTTTGGCTTGCTTAGATGATGGTCTCTCTCAGTTTTTTTAGTCGACTCAAAGCACGACTCACCAAGGTGATTCTCTCTCTTTTGACATGCTTAAAAGACCGTCTCAGTTTCCGAGGTGCCTTAAAAGCGGTACTGGGAGGGAGCACAAGACAAACTCTCTTGTTCCCGTGACTTTTGAGAATTCACACGAATTCACACGAATAGTCACACGAAAAGTCACACGAATATCACTGGGAGCACAAGACAAACTCTCTCGTTCCCGGCAAGGTGATTCCCTCCCTCTTGACATGCTTCAAGAATTGTCTCACTTTCTGGGGTGCCTTATAAAGCAGCAACGGGAGCGCAAAATTAACTCTCTCTTGCTCACCAAGTTGACACTCCTCCTTTCATCTTCCAACTCCTTTTCGGGTTTTGAAGCGTCTCAATCTCCCACGAGTCCTTCTTGGCGTTGATCCGAGCTAGAGTTGATTTTTCCCAACAGACTCTGGCAAATCAACGCTAGCTCGGATGCTGCTCTGCTGGGCGGCCAGGCAGGCAGCAGTGACACCCCACCCCACCCCACCCCACCCACGTGGATCTACACGTGGCTCACAGCAGTCTCACAGTGCTTCTCGTCTCGTGCTCCCTCCTCCTCTGCTCTCCCTCTCCCTCCCCTACCATTCGCCCTATCACCCCAGGTCCCCAGAGTCCTGTTAGTCGGCCCAACTGACAGCGGCAAGTCAACCCTGGCACGAATGCTCCTATGCTGGGCGGCCAGGCAGCAGTGGCACCCCACCTACGTGGACCTAGACGTGGCTCACAGCAGTGTCACTGTCACACTGTGCCCTCCCGCCCTTTCAGGTCCCCAGGGTACTGCTAGTGGGTCCCACAGACAGTGGAAAATCCACTCTGGCCAGAATGCTGCTGTGCTGGGCGGCCATGCAGCAATGGCACCCCTCCTACGTCGATCTAGACGTGGCTCACAGCAGTGTCACTGTCGCTCCCGTGCCCCCTCTCTCTCGCTCTTTCCACTTCCCTGTTCCCTGTATCAGGTACCACGCGTCCTTCTAGTCGGCCCAACAGACTCGGGCAAGTCAACTCCGGCCAGAATGCTTCTCTGTTGGGCGGCCAGGCAGCAGTGGCATCCCACCTACGTGGTCCTAGACGTGGCTCACAGCAGTGTTTCTGTCCCTTCCCGCCCTTTCAGGTACCACGCGTCCTTCTAGTCGGCCCAACAGACTCGGGCAAGTCAACCCCGGCCAGAATGCTTCTCTGTTGGGCGGCCAGGCAGCAGTGGCATCCCACCTACGTGGACCTAGACGTGGCTCACAGCAGTGTTTCTGTCCCTTCCCGCCCTTTCAGGTACCACGCGTCCTTCTAGTCGGCCCAACAGACTCGGGCAAGTCAACTCCGGCCAGAATGCTTCTCTGTTGGGCGGCCAGGCAGCAGTGGCATCCCACCTACGTGGACCTAGACGTGGCTCACAGCAGTGTCACTGTCCCTTCCCGCCCTTTCAGGTGCCAAGGGTGCTGCTAGTCGGTCCAACAGACTCGGGCAAATCCACGCTAGGCAGAATGCTTCTATGCTGGGCGGCCAGGCAGCAGTGGCATCCCACGTACGTGGACCTAGACGTGGCTCACAGCAGTGTGACCGTGCCGGGGGCAGTAGCCGCCACGCCTGTGGAGGCACCCCTAGAAGCCAACGCCAGGACTGTGGAGGAGGCGCCTCTGGTGCTGTTCTATGGGCATACCAACCCCAGGTGAGCAGTGTGGGTGAGATGAGGTATCTATGCACGAGCATGCTACTGTAGTAGCATAGCATAGCATACTGTGGCGGGGGCTGTGGCGGCCACGCCAGTGGAAGCACCACTGGAAGCGGATGCAAGGAGCGTGAAGGAAGCGCCTCTGGTGCTGTTCTATGGACACACCAACCCCAGGTGCGTGCGATGAGGTGACGGAAACTTGCACAGAAGGCTCACAGCAGTGTGACTGTGCTGGGGGCTGTGGCGGCCACACCAGTGGAAGCACCACTGGAAGCTAATGCAAGGAGTGTTGAGGAAGCTCCCTTGGTGCTGTTCTATGGACACACAAATCCCAGGTGAGCTGGTGAAGAGTGTGTGTGGCATGGTGACGGGTTGTGGCCGCCACGCCAGTGGAGGCATCACTTGAAGCGGATGCAAGGAGTGTTGAAGAGGCTCCCCTGGTGCTGTTCTATGGGCACACCAACCCCAGGTGTGTAGTGTGTGAGGGAGAGGAAGTAGCATGGTAGCATGCTGTGGCTGCCATTCCAGTGGAGCCACCGCTTGAGGCGAATGCAAGGAGTGTTGAAGAGGCTCCTCTGGTGCTGTTCTATGGACACACCAACCCCAGGTGCGTACAAGGGAAGAAGGTGGGGTATATGCACGAGTGGAAGCACCACTGGAAGCGATCGCGAGGAGCGTGGAGGAGGCGCCTCTAGTGCTGTTCTATGGACACACCAACCCCAGGTGCGTAGTGTGCATGCCTGTGTGGCAGTGGCAGTGGCAGTGGCAGTGGCAGTGGCAGTGGCATTGTCGACTAGACATCAGTTTTTTGTGGGAGATGGAGAAGTGGAGTTAAGTCACCTTACCATACTCTATTACACTTTCTTAATCCCACCCAACCCAACCCCATTCGGTCTTCCTTTCTCCCTTGACTCTCCTGTTACAGTGGGAGAAGCTTGACTCATACAGTGCTCTAGTGGCGGCACTGGCGGAGGCAACAGACAGTGAGTCGTGTTTTGAGTCGAATCAAAACACGGCTCTAGTGGCGTGGCGGCACTGGCGGAGGCAAAAGACAGGCGACTGGGCATGCAGCAGGCAGCATTTGTGCTCATTACAACTCACATCCTCTTCTCCCCCTTTCCCGCTGCGTTCCCCACTAACAGTGCCAACCTTGACCTATACCGTGCACTGGTGACGGCACTGGCAGACGCAACAGACAGGCGACTGGGCATCACACCCTTGGGAGAGGATTGAAAGCTCAGTAGTCTTCAAGTTTACATGCTCCCCTCCCCCTTCCAGTGCCAACCTTGACCTATATCGAGCACTGGTGACGGCACTGGCAGACGCAACAGACAGGCGACTGGGCATCACACCCTTGGGAGACGGAGGAGGAGGGGAGGAGGGGGGAGGGGATGGTGGAACAGCAGGAGCAGGAGCAGGGAGGGAGGCAGCAGGAGAGGCGGCAGCGATAGGGGCGGCAGCAATAGGGGCGGTTCCAGTGGAGGCAGCAGCAGCAGGGATCATAGCGAACAGCATGGGATGGGTGGACGGGGCTGGTTACCAGGTATGTGTTGGTGGGGCTGGGCATGAGGTATGTGTTAAAGGGGCTGGTTACCAGGTATGTGTTGGTGGGGCTGGGCATGAGGTATGTGTTAAAGGGGCTGGTTACCAGGTATGTGTTGGTGGGGCTGGGCATGAGGTATGTGTTAAAGGGGCTGGTTACCAGGTATGTGTTGGTGGGGCTGGGCATGAGGTATGTGTTAAAGGGGCTGGTTACCAGGTATGTGTTGGTGGGGCTGGGCATGAGGTATGTGTTAAAGGGGCTGGTTACCAGGTATGTTGGTCCAAGGGCCACTGTTCCGTGCAGTAGGAGCGGCAGCAATATTGACGGTTCCAGTGGAGGCAGCAGCAGCAGGGATGATAGCGAACAGCATGGGATGGGTGGATGTGGCTGGTTACCAGGTATGTCGATCCAAGAACCACTGTCTTGTGTAGGGAGGAGGGAGGCAGCAGGAGAGGGGCTGCAATATGGGCGGTGCCAGTGGAGGCAGCAGGAGAGGGGCTGCAATATGGGCGGTGCCAGTGGAGGCAGCAGGAGAGGGGCTGCAATATGGGCGGTGCCAGTGGAGGCAGCAGGAGAGGGGCTGCAATATGGGCGGTGCCAGTGGAGGCAGCAGGAGAGGGGCTGCAATATGGGCGGTGCCAGTGGAGGCAGCAGCAGGGTTCATAGCGAACAGAACAGCATGGGGTGACTTTTGAGTCGACTCAAAAGAGGTCACTTTTGAGTCGACTCAAAAGTCACCTGGAGGCAGCAGCAGCAGGGATCATAGCGAACAGAACAGCATGGGATGGGTGGATGGAGCGGGATAGCAGGTGTGTGCTGGCGGTGCTGGTTACCAGGTGTGTGCTGGCGGTGCTGGTTACCAGGTGTGTGCTGGCGGTGCTGGTTACCAGGTGCGTGTTGGTGGTGCTGGTTACCAGGTGCGTGTTGGCAATGCTGGTTACCATGTTTGTGGTTTATGGATGGTACAGATACCATCTTGTTCTCTGTTTGGTGCGACTTTTGAGAATTCTCAGAAGTAACAGATACCATCTTCTTCTCTGTTTGCGGTCCATTTTCCAAGATTGGAGGGACACACACACACGCCTTAAACCAGACCAACGATTGCCGTTTTTTATTCTGCTCCCTCACCCCTCTCCCTCCGTGCACTTCCTCCCTGCGTTGCCTCTGCAGCTGCTGCTACACTCCATTGATGCCTTGCGGGCCAACGTGGTGCTTGTACTGGGGCAGGTGCGTCTGTTTGAGATTCCCTGATAAGCAACCATCACTTCATAGTGCGTTTGTTGGGGTAAGAAAGAATCAGTGTAGCTAAGGTCAATGAGTTGATGGTCAACGTGGTGGTGCTTGTACTGGGGCAGGTGCGTCTGTTTGAGATTCCCTGATAAGCAACCATCACTTCATAGTGCGTTTGTTGGGGTAAGAAAGAATCAGTGTAGCTAAGGTCAATGAGTTGATGGTCAACGTGGTGGTGCTTGTACTGGGGCAGGTGCGTCTGTTTGAGATTCCCTGATAAGCAACCATCACTTCATAGTGCGTTTGTTGGGGTAAGAAAGAATCAGTGTAGCTAAGGTCAATGAGTTGATGGTCAACGTGGTGGTGCTTGTACTGGGGCAGGTGCATCTGTTTGAAACTCACTGACAGGTGACTTCATTTCATAGTGTGTATGTCAGTGGTGCGTGTGCTGAGAATACCTGATAAGCCTCAGTGTAGCTAAGGTCAATGCGCCTGGAGCCCTCATTCTTTTGAGGCGCCTCAAAAGATTACCTGATAAGCCTCAGTGTAGCTAAGGTCAATGCGCCTGGAGCCCTCATTCTTTCGTGGCCTCAAGACCTATTTCTCATCCTCCTCCCTTTCCCCCACCTCCCCCTCTCCTTCCCACACCCCTTCTCCTCACCACAGGAGCGGCTCTACAGCATGCTCTCTCAGAGCACTACCGAAGCAAGGCAGCAGCAGCTGGTGCTGCCCACGGCACTGCTGGCGGTGCTGCCAGCAGCAGCCATACAGCGGCGGTGGAGGTGGTGAAGCTCCTTCTCTCCTCAAGTGCCGTCCTCCCCTCCCTCTCCTGCCCACCCTCTCACCACAGGAGCGACTTTACAGCATGCTCTCGGAGCACTACCGAAGCAAAGCAGCAGCAGCTGCTGCAGATGGTACCCCTGCCAGCCATGCAGCGGCAGTGGAGGTGGTGAAGCTTGTTCTCTCTTAGCCTCAGGAGTTGTTTCTCTTACCCCCTTCTCCTCACCACAGGAGCGGCTGTACAGCATGCTCTCAGAGCACTACCGAAGCAAAGCCGCAAAGGCTGCAGCGGATGGTACCCCTGCCAGCCATGCAGCGGCGGTGGAGGTGGTGAAGCTTTCTCTGTTCACTTCAAGACCGTTTCCTCTCCCCTTTTTCCCCTTCTTCTCTCTCTACCACAGGAGCGACTCTACAGCATGCTTTCGGAGCACTACCGAAGCAAAGCGGCGGCAGCTGCTGCGGATGGTATCCCTGCCGGCCATGCAGCGGCGGTGGAGGTGGTGAAGCTTGTGCGGTCCGGAGGTGCCGTGTCCCGTGCTTCCAAGTTCAGGCAGCGGTTGAGACAAGCAGTCATAAAGGTACAAAAGAACGGGAACTGAAAGATGAAGACAGAAATTCTTCGGGTCAACTGATTATTTGGTAACTGGCCTGATACCACCCCTGATCTTGAAAATATCCCCTTGCTGTTTTTTTTCAAGTTTTTTCTTCTTTACTATGATTTATCAGGCATACTTTTACGGGCCCGAGCGGCAGTTCTCGCCTCATTCAAGCACATCCAGCTGGTCGGAGTACACGGTGCTGAGAGTAGGGGGAGGGCCACAGGCACCGCAGTCAGCACTTCCCATCGGAGCAGCGAGGGTTTCAGACCCGCTTCGTACTGCACCAGTGGTTCTTTCACGGGAGCTGGAGCATCATGTGCTGGCGGTTTCGCATGCCAAGGAGGAGAAGGACGCTGTTACTGGGTGAGATTTTTGTGGGCGTATGGTATCTGTACTGTCCCTTTGGACAGCTGGTGTATTTTGCATACGTCGGTGGTCGGTTGTCTTTTCCTGCAGCCTTTGGAAAGTGTGCTGATCGCTTGTCTCCTGTACTTGGTTGTACTGTTTTTGGAGTGCAGGAGCATCGCTGGATTCATCTGTATAACACAAGTGGATATTGCCAAGGGCAAGTTCATGTTCATAGCGCCCAGCCCAGGGCCATTGCCAGGAAAGATTCTCCTCTTTGGCTCCCTAACCTGGGTGGAGTAGGGTACGTCATATCAGTTAGGTGAGGGTTCATGTAGAGAAAAATGTGTATGTTGGTCATGCAGAATCTGCCACATGCTTTACCAAGTAAATTGATCAATATTGTAGTGTATGGCTCAATTGAGCAAATAATGTACTGACAAAATGAAGAATGTGTTCACAACACATCATTGTAGCCATGTAGCTGATGTGGAGCTGCTGCTGGAGCAGAGACAAGCCAGCCAGCTAGTCCACGCTTGCTCTTGGCTTCTTCCACACCAATTTGCACTGTTTCCCATCGCCCTCAGCTCGCTCATACGCCAGAACCTGCAATTAGAAACCAAATTGGCAGCATTCACATTCAGTGCAACTCGGACCTTCAGCACAAAAATGGATTAGGATTGAGGTTGCATTCAGTCAGTAAGGCCCCCTCACCTCTCTTGCTCTCTTGTCACTTGGTGTCCAAGACAGCCGTGACTCCTCAGCTCTGCTAGAGGAGCTCCCTCGTTGATCAGACGCCTGCACACCCTGCAGCTTCCGCTTCACCAGCACATGCTTGGGGATCTTGCTCCCTGTGTGCCAGAACTTCTGCAGAGACGCATCAGCCTCCTCTCGCCTTCTTGCAGAATCATCTTGAAAAAGGTTCGTGCGGATGCGTTTGTTAGAGTTCGTAGATTGCTCTCTGCCACGAATCTGCCTGTTGGTTTGAGGAGGTGCTGGTGGGGAAGCCCATGTTTCCTGGCTTGGAGAGCTCTGCATCGGCTGATGCTGCGACCGATATTGCTGGGGGTGTGGGCGCTGCTGCTGCTGCTGATATTGAGATTGAATGGGCTGTGCATGACGGGGAGATAGGAATTGGGAGTCATCTGGACGTGTACCAGGGCCAGAATAGCGGGAAATCTGAGGGGAGGAGGACCTTGCACCATATGGGTTTCCTCGTGTACCAGCTGGGGGGATTTCTGAATGGAAGGATGAACTGCCTGTAGGGTTACTTTGGTGACCTGCTGATTGCCTTCTTGACATCCAGCCCTGCAAGGCAGATTTAACGCCGCTTGAAGCAGAGGGAGCTTGAGAGGGCTCTGAGTCGCTTGCTCCTGCATCAAGGAATCGGAAGTTCAGATGTATAATATGCATAACAGGCAGGAGACCGCAGAATAACAGGCAGTGCAAACACACCTTGGAAGTATGTGCTGCTGGCAGGTGATGCAGAATAGTGGCTGCTTGGAGAATCGGCCATGCGCACTTGAGACATGTGGTTGTGGTAGTAGTCTTCATTCCCAAGAAGTGGTGCTGCATCTGCCTGCTCAATCTCAAATGCAGACGGGAAGCTTCGAACGCCGCTTGGCTCATCACCAAATGAATAGGCATCCACATCTGCATCTGGCGTTACCAGTCGCTCTGATTGTCCTGGTCTGTGGTACAACTCGTGCGGCTGCTGGTGGAACCTCCTCTGCTGCTGCCTGCTTTCCTGCTGCTGGAGATGCTGCTGCTCATATCCTCTCCATCCACCACCACGCTGACCAGGATCACCATCATCATCATCACTCAATACAAGGGTTTCAGCTTCTGAGGCGGTTGGCCGAGCAGACTGATGCCCCCATGGCACATCTGGAGGTGGCCTCGATCTCCTTCCAGAAGGAAAACTAGAGCCCAAGTACGCAGACGAAGCAGCAGCTGCAGCGGGTGGAGGATGAATCGAGTGTTCATGACGTGAAGTATATCGAGAATCTGGATTGAAAGGCATGTCTCGGTGAGGCGGTGGCATGCCATCATATGCGCTTTCGGGATGATAACCGGTTTGCCTCATGTCACCCGGGTACATTGGCAGGTTGCCTTCTGATGGAGGTGAATTCCGTGAGCCCTGGACAGGCATGTGGTTGCGAGCTGTGGCCTGCTGTGGTGTAGTCTTGTGTTCACATTGGCCCTGAAACAGGCTGAGGGAGCGGGATGGAAGGCCGCGAGGAACTGTTGCTGATGCTTGCTGCTCGTGGTGCAGACACATGAACACAGGCAGAGGAAAGCCCGAGGTCATGATGATGTGTGCAGAGAGTGGGTTGAGGGATGGGAACCGACACAGGAAGGCTTCTTGGAAAGACTCGGATTCAGGCAGGGGCGTGCGGAAGGGCTGGGAGGCTGATGGTTGGGAGCCTGATTGTTTGGCAGTGGAAGGGAAAGAAGCTGCAGATAGCAGGCTGAGAATCAATCTCTCGGTTGCGGCTTCAGATGACGAGAAGAAACATTGCACGTCCAGGTCCAGTGCTGCTCCTCCAGCATAAAGATCGTCCACATTGCGCTTGATTTGTGTCAGATAGGCGTCAGTTCCCTCAAACACCTGCCAGTTGATAAGCATGAGTTGGTGACACTGATAAACCCATGTCTCAAAGGATTTCAGAAGGAATACGTGTCCGACTTACCAAGAAGCAGGTCTGGTAAGCGAAACTGAGAGCCTTCAGGTGGGTTTCCACAACAGCTTCTAGACACACAGTCATAAGTGAACTCGACGGAAGCCCGTCCATTGCTGCCAGTTTCTGAACTTCTTTCAGGCGCTGGGGGTTATAGATGATCAGTGAGCTTGATGCATTCAGCACAATCTCTGCCGGTGCTACCAGATCCCGTTCAATAATCTGCGAAGGAGAAAACAATCAATCAATGTTCGTTCATGCTGGAAAAGAGGAATGCACAAGAAGCATTGAACTACCTGAATGCCGCTTTCCTCCAGCTGGAGGATCTTATCGTATAGTTGTCTTCTTCTGAGCACAATGGGGTCAAACTGGTCCCTGGTGTTGACAATGACTGTTCTCTTGTATTCCACGGCAGCCTTCTTCTGTTCTTGAACTTCAATTGGACGATGATGTGACAGATGTTCCTCATGCCTCCAACTGTTCGGCTCTGAGACCAGTTCAGGTCCATCAGCAGTCGTGTATGGAGCAGAATCCGTTACAACTGAGGCAGAGTGTCTTAAAGCTTCAGGTGCTGCGGAAATCTCATCATAACAGTCTTCTGGTTCGCTGTCAAGGAGAATGACTGTGGGAGCCTCTGGTTTCCGTTGCTGCTCTAAGTGTTGAACCTTCTCAGCCGTAATTGGGTGCACTTCCTTTGGAGCTTGTGTAGGCATGGACTGCACGTAAAGAAAATTGGCATAAACATGGCTTTTCCACAAGAAAAAAAAAGAACGAGAGTTATTGGTCACAAACCTTGACCTCTGTTAGCAATGCCTCGTCAGGGTCCTCCACAGAAAGAATGTGGACATTTCTGCTGATGGAATTAAGGACACGCAGATCTTCTCCTTCCACAAGATCACTGTAGATAATCACCATACTGAACTTGGTCACTGGAAATGAAGGCACCAGGTATCTGCAGGAAAACATCCAAATTAGCACAAGAAAAGCATTTAACAAACAATTCACGGATCAGCAATGTGCGCCCACTTACTTCGGAGAAACCAAGAGGCAGTCTGAAATCTCAAGCGCTTCATGCACCTCCTGCTGCACAATCTTCCACTTCCTCTCTGGTATCCCTCTCCCATCCATCCCACTGAGCGCTCCAGAACGTCCGAGCTGGAAGGGCTGGAACTGGCATGTGCCCAGCAGCTTGTACATAGTGAAAAACGCCATGTTCTCAGCAACAATCAGCACATTTGCAGAGCCTGTAGAAGCTGTAGCGCCCTTAGAGTCCTGTAACTGGCAGGACTTCTTATGGGTTCTGAGGATAGAGGTCAGCATGGAGAGCTTTGGGTGATCCACCGTTGCACCCCCCTCCACCAGCTCAAATGCTGACGCCAGTGCTTCTCTGGTCCTCTTGAAGAGTGCAGCAAGGTGAGCAGTGGATGCAGCTTCCAACCCCTGTTCCAGAAACAGATGAGCAACGCGGATACCGTACTGCCAGCACAGCATTGCGGACTGGTGAAGCAGGTACAGGCATTTCAGCTGTTGCAGCACACGGTCCTGTGATAGCTGGCCAGAAGTCCGCTGAGAAATTTCTACCTTGATGGATTGGCTGACCTCCTGTTTCAGGCGAAAGGGTTTCACGGACGTCTTGGCTTCCTTGTTCAGTGACCACAGTAGATTCTGATACTCTCCCTTGGCTAGATCCACGATATCTGCAAGGTCCTGAGACATCTGCACTCTGTGGACCTGTGAAACCGATTTGTTCAAGGACTGGTTGGCAGCTGGAGGCGACTTCAAGCAAACGGGTTGCGCAATAGTCACATCCTCGACCCCCTTCTCCAAAGCTCTAGCTGCATTATGTGCTCCGAAGTTGACCTCTTCTGCAAGTCTGGTTGGCTCAACTGCTGCTGCTACCTCCTGAGGTGGTTCTTGCTGAAGACTCTGTGCTTTCCCCTGCCTTGCATTCATGAAAAAAATGAGCTCGCTTGACATTTTCTGAACTTGGTGCTGGAAACCAATCCGCTTGCCCTCCTCTCTAGCAGCTGAGCCTGGTCGGTTATCCTCGTTATTCTTCAGCATAACAGCAGCAGGAGAGGCGGTGGCAGTTGTGGCACAGGCAGCAGCGGCGGCGGCAGCTGCAGCGACAGAAGCACACATAGCGGCAGCAGCAGCAGAAGCGGGAGAAGCAGACGCAGCTGCAGCAGCAGTATCAGCTGGCGATGGCATTGACACTAATCGACTGTGAGGTAGATTCATAGGAGAAACAGGGGGTGGTGTCACAATCGATGGTTGAGGCTGAGGCTGAGGCTGGGGCTGGGGCTGGGGCGACGGCATGATTTTAACATGTGAAAGCGGTACATGAAGCTTTGGTGCAGTCTGAGGTTCAGCGTGTCTAACCTGAGGCTGAAATGGCGGCTGCACTGCAGCAGCAACACGAGAAGCATGTGGTGATGGTGAGACGAATGGTGCAACGGTTGGATAGGTCGACGTTGCACCCACCATCTGAACCAACGCTGATGGCAGCAGCATTCTTTGCTCGATTTGCGAAACCGCTTGTGCAGAAACGCTCTGCATCCTGTCCTCAAGGAGAGAAAACAGTGAGTCAGATTGAGGTGGCTCGGATTGGAGCAGCTTAACTTTCCGAAAAGATAACTTGCAGTCAGCGTTGGAACAACTGAATGAAGTGCAAGACTTGAAATCTTGCGACAGATGCCAATCTAGGTATAGGAAATCTCTTGCACGAGAAGCCATTGTAAGATTCGCCTTCACGGACTCGCTTAGAGATAAGAACGCGGAGACAGGTAGGAGATTGCCATCTCCCTGCAATTCGTCCTGCTGCAGAAGTGGAACTGGTAGTAATCGAATCCCACCACAGTTGAAAGTGAGCTGGGGAGCCACAACCAGCTCGTTGAAGTCTTTCATTGACACGCTCATGGAGGGAAGTGCTTCAAGGCGAAGAGTATTTTCTTTGCAGACCAGCTCCATGGCCAGCTTCTCACCCATCAGTGACTGGCTGAGTGATGGAAACGGCACATCAAGCAGCGGAACACCTTCACTCTTGGCTGCTTGACCAGCAGAGGTACTTGGCTCCTCCAGAACCTTGCAAAGTGTCTCAGTGTATGTCGGCTTCACTTCATCAATAGTCATCCGACCTGGACCCAGAAGCGACATCATGTTTCTACGGCTGTTTAAAAGTCCACTCAAAGCGTCTTCAGGTGGCTTCATCAGATCCATCTTCTTTATAAGCGTCGACGGATCCGTCATGGAATGACCGGGATTAATGGGATCGTCCAGGATGCACGGAGGGTCCATGGGACAGAAAGTGTCCATCGTGTGTGGCTTGCCGCGCTTTGAAGATGTTGATGAATTGCACGCTGCTTCGATGTCCAATAAGGAAACGAGATGTTTCTTGAATGGTGCAGATTCCATCGCGATGGGTTCTGCATCCTCCTCCGCACGTCTGACGTTCTGCATTTCATAAACGAATTAGCAAGGAATACGAGTAGACATTTTGACTCCGTATTGAATGTGGAAGGCTTACCATCTCTGGTGGAGGATCGACGTTTTCCAATGCCAAGCGCTCACAGTCAATCTGGTAAAACACCTCCTCTCCAATTTTCTGCCAAGGTCACGAGTTATGGAAATGGATGCTACCAATAAATAAAACATAATAAGTATTGTGAGGGACAGACGCATAAGGGACAGCGAGAGTGACCTGGAAATCCGTATCCTGCAGTAGAGGTTCCTCAAAATTGGCCACCAAGGGAGTAATGGGTTCAGCATCGCTAAGTTCGTTACTGTCCAGCATCCATTCGATGGTGCTGAAAGTTGACGTTTTCGACACCGCTTGATTTTGAGGAAGAAACTGCGTGAGAATGGAAGCGGCTGCTGCTTTCGGAAGGATGGTCGCGGAGAGCTCAGAGAGATCTACCCCATGACTGAGGTTCTTGCTGTCATTCGCTAGAAGCTGAAACAATGCGACAGGTATGTCGTCGGGTAAAGCAATGTCTTCACCGTCTACAATCCTAGGACACGGCAAAGTTCGCCGATCTTGCTTTTGTTGTTGCTTCATTGACGCTAATGCGTAGTAGTCCACGTGATGCCAACGTAACCGCATGATCTCCGAAAACAGATAAGGAAAGATCAAGCTCCTGACGCCGGCACACAGAACGAAGAGCACTTCCGTCACACCGTTTAGTGATCCTTCAGGCAACTAGTGATCAACGTAAACTTGCTTGTTACGCAAACGCTGTGATCACCAAGCAACGTATTCTACTTGGTGCTGTGGTGGTGGCATGGGATGGGAAGAGTGTTGCTGCCTGTGATGTGTTTCTCGGGATCACCGAAATTCTCACAAAAAGTCCTGACGCACGCGCTATACGCGCCGTTTGAAATCCCGAATATCCCCTCTCGACCCACATATCTGATACTTCGTATATGGTAACATGATGGGTAGTGTAAGGAAATTTTCAGTATACCTTACCGCGGCCTACGCTTCGGGCCTAGCCAGAACCTCGCTGCCAGCTTCTCACTACGCACCGCGTTACCGTTTGCTTGTTTCGTAATAACGAATGTGTTGAGATTAGGCGATAAGAAGGAATGGTAGAAGTGTGATTTGAACTAGCAGGAGGTGGGATACATATAGGAAACCCTAAAAGGGTTGTACTCGCTGTTGGATACCCCACTACAGCCTACAGAACAAATGACAGTTTGACACACCCCCATAGGCAAAGTGGGGTATAGCCAACAGAACAAGCAGTCACAGAACCAGTTCATAGGCAAAGACTGGTGGCATAAGCAGAGGGCAAGTGAGGAGGAGGAAACTCGAAGGGAGAGGAGGTGGGCGGCCGCTGAAGCTGCTGGCACTGGTCGCAAACGGCGTAACTGGCTCTGCTCGCCAGCAAGAGCAACTGACCCTCTGGGGACCGGAGCAACGGGTAACCGGAGTAACTGGCTCGCTCGCCGGCAAGAGCAACTGACCCACGGGCCTCTGACGCAACGGTCTCACGGGCGACTAGAGCTACGGACTTCACGGCGGCCACCCGCCCTCACCCCCCTCGTATCGTCCAACCCCCCCCGTGTCACACCCCTCGGCCCTAGCGCCACTCCCAAGTCTCCCCCACACACCTCCCCCCCCCTTCAGCTGCAGCTGCAGCAGTGAGAGAGAGAGAGGAGGAGGAGCGGCAGCTCAACACGCACGCCCGCCACCCCCATACCCCCCCCCCCCCCCACAGCTGCAGGCGCAGCAGGGAGATGGAGTCGAGGGGGCGGGGGAGGAGCTGCTCCGCGGCTGCCCGTCACCCCCATACCCCCCCACGGCTGCACGCGTAGCAGGGAGAAGGAGGCGGGGGGGGGCGGGGTAGGAGCTGCACCGCGGCTGCAGGTTCTGGCGCGTGCCCGAGGCGCGCGGCGTGCAGAGATCCGCGCGCGCCCCGGGCGCGCGACAGGCAGGGGCTGGCGCGCGGGTCCCCTGGGGCGCCGCGACAGGCGACGGGGGACGGCGCGCGGGTCCCCGGGGGCGCCGCGACGGGCGACGGGGGGCGACGCGCGGGTCCCCGGGGGCGCCGCGACGGACGACGGGGACGGCGCGACAGTCCCCGGGGGTGCCGCGACGGACGACGGGGGGCGGCGCGCTGGTCCCTGGGGGCGCCGCGACGGACGACGGGGCGTGAAACCGCGCGCGCCCTGGGCGCGCGGCGGGCAAGAAACCGCCACGCGCCCCGAGCGCGTGGCGGGCAGAAAACCGCCGCGCACCACGGGGCGCGCGGGGGGCAGAAAAAATGTCGCGCGCCCGGGGCGCGCGACTAACACGATAGCAGCGGAAGCTGTCAGAACATTATATAGCTTATGCTGTTGTGTAGGCTATAGTGGGGTATCCCATAGGGGGTACAACCCAATTAGGGTTTCCTATATGTACTCACTTCATTCATAGTTCATTCATTCGCGTTCTCCTCTTCACATGGAATCAGAGCAGGTCCCCTCCTAGGGACTGTTTCTAGGGCCCACCGAAGCGCGCCCCGAGGCGCGCTTTCCTTTTTTTTAGCGACCCTCCGTGTCGCCCCTAGCGGCCCGTTGCGCCGCCCTTACCTACGCGAGCCCGCCGCCCTTACGTCGCGGCCCAGCCGCCCTCACGTCGCGGCCCCGCCGCCCTCACCTACGCGGCCCCGCCGCCCTTAAGTCGCGGCCCCGCCGCCCTCACGTCGCGGCCCCGCCGCCCTCACGTCGCGGCCCCGTCGCCCTTGCCTACGCGGCCCCGCCGCCCTTAAGTCGCGGCCCCGCCGCCCTCACGTCGCGGCCCCGCCGCCCTCACGTCGCGGCCCCACCGCCCTTGCCTACGCGGCCCCGCCGCCCTCACCTACGCGGCCCCGCCGCCCTCACGTCGCGGCCCCGCCGCCCTCACGTCGCGGCCTCGCCGCCCTTGCCTACGCGGCCCCGCCGCCCTCACCTACGCGGCCCCGCCGCCCCACTTCGCGGCCCCGCCGCCTACGGTACCGGCCCCGCCGCCTATCCTCACCGGCCCCGCCGCCTACGACCGCCGAGCCGCCCTGCCGCCGAGCCGCCCTGCCGCCGAGCCGCCCGGGAGCCGAGCCGCCCAGCAGCCGAGCCGCCGAGCCGCCCAGCCGCCGGGCCGCCCTACTGCCGAGCCGCCCGACCTGCCCTGCCTGGTGAGCACAGCACCACTGTTACTGCGTGCCCTTCCCCTACTGCTTGCACTACTACACTGTCGTCGTCATGGCTACCCCTAGTGTCCTCGCTTTTGACGCTGAGGGTCGAGCCATTGACTCTGAGGTCTGGGTCGACGACCTGCAGCTGTTCTTACAGTGCGATAGGGCGGACGGTCTTTCCCTCTTTGACCTCACCTCTGGCGCCTCTCCTGCCCCTGCTGCTGATGCTGACCCCACTGTTCGCTCTCAGTGGGCCACCCGCGATGCTGCTGCACGTCTTGCTGTGCGTCGCCACCTGCCTACCACTGAGCGCGCGCACTTTAGTCAGTACAAGAGTGCTCAGACCTTGTACGACGCTGTAGTTGCGCGCTACTCTTCCCCTGCCACTGCTGCCCTGAGCCGCCTCATGCTACCGTACCTCTTTCCTGACCTTGCTGCCTTTCCCACTGTCGCTGACCTCATTACGCACCTCCGCACTAGTGACACTCGCTACCGCGCCGCCCTTCCTGCTGAGTTCTGCGCCAAGAACCCCCCCCCCCATGTACATCACTCTCTATTACATAGTCACACGCCTCCCTGACTCCCTTCGCGTAGTCAGGGACCACTTCCTCTCAGTCTGTCCCACCACTCTCACTGTCGACCTCCTCGAGAAGTCCCTCCTGGCGGCGGAGAAGAGCATCGTCGCTGTAGGAGCCTCTCGTGGTGACCCTCGCACCCCCATCTTTGAGGGGTGTTCTCCTTCCCCCCTGCTGCCCTCTGTTGCCTCTGCTGCTGCTGCCGACCTGCTTGGTCTTGAGTCGGTCTGCGCGGCGTCTGCCCCTAGCGGGAGACGCCGCCCTGGCAGGGGCAAGGGGGGCAAGGGCGCGGGTGGAACTGGCGGGGGCGGTGGAGGTGGCGGTGGAGGCGACGGAGGGAGTGGGGGTGGCGGTGGGAGTGGTGGCGGGGGCGGTGGTGGCGGTGGCAGCAGCGGAGGAGGAGGCGGTGGTGGCGGCAGCGGTGGGAGCGGAGGCAGCGGTGGTGGTGGAGGTGGAGGCGGCGGTGGCGGAGGGGGTGGAGCTGGTCGGGGTGGTGCCCCGCAGCGTAGCGGCTCTGGTGGTGGCCAGCGTCAGCAGCAGCAGCAGCAGCAGCGTTCGCGGGACATCCCCCCGCCCCAGCAGCTCCGTGAGTGGTACACGCAGCGTCAGCGGGGTGGGGGTTTTGGTCCGTGCACCTACGTCCTTCGTTCCGGCGACCGCGCGGGTGAGCAGTGTGGGGGTGCCCACCCCACCCAGCGCTGCTTTGGCCGCCTGACGGACGCTTGGCGTCAGCAGTTCCCCGAGGCTAGTGAGATTCCCCGTTGGGGAGAGCTGTCTAGGGCTGGCGTAGCTATCTTTGATCTTGACTTTGATGCTATCCTTGCTGCCATGTATGCTGTGACTATTAGTGAGGAGGGTGACTGTTACCGGTGTTTCCCGCCCGACCCGGGCATTGGTACTGCTGCGCTAGGTACTTCTGCGGCTGCTGCTCTAGGTGCCAGTGCGTCTGCACTCTCAGGTACTGGTGAGGCTGCGCTCTCAGGTACTGCGTCGGCTTCGGCCTCCCTCACCTTCACGCTTGACTCAGGGGCTTCTCGCTCCTTCTTTCGAGACCGCACCACACTCACGCCGCTTGGCCGGCCGGTTGCAGTCTCCCTGGCTGACCCCTCTGGGGGTCCTGTCCTCTCTCACTTCTCCACTGTCCTCCCGTGTCCGGCTGCCCCCTCGGGCACCTTGTCTGGTCTGTACCTCCCCTCGTTCTCGACGAACTTGGTGAGTGGTGCTGACCTGCAGGATGCGGGGGTTCACCAGTTTACTCCTGCGAGTCAGCGGGTGACCCACTGCTCGGACGCCCGCACAGGCCGACACCTGGCCACGTTTTCGCGTCGGCCGGGGTCGAGTCTCTACACCCTGACCACTGAGTCTCCTCCTGTCCCTGC